TTCAAAATGGAAGCATTACATTAATTTAAGGTCGAGACACAATATCAGTCAGAGACTGCGGTATACCTACATCTGCTCTGTTACTTGATTCAGAAGGGAAGTACAGATGATCTGATAGCAACTCTGATCAACTAAGTAACAAAAAGCGGAGAGATGCAGGGAATAAGTCACGTTCTTGAAAGAAACTCTCTATACTCTCTCTCTCTGACATTGGAGAAAGAAAAAATTACCTGTTTCCTTGCATCAGCTAGGCGAAATGACCAGGCATGGTCCACTAAAAAGACATCGGCCTCCTTCTCCATAGATTCACCAGAGAGGAGGAGCCTTTTCTGCCGTCCATTTTCACACACCTCAATCTCAAAGAAATCGCCGCCATCAAATGCCTCAGTCGATAGCTTGAAGAAGAGCCGCTGGTGCATAGAAGAGGGGATCCCTGAATTCGCCAGCAAAATAGCGTGAGCTTCCGAAAATTCATCGAAATTTCGTATAATCGCCATTTTTGAAGCTCTGAGTTCTGAAACTTTGGTAGTGAGAGTGAGCTCTGCGTTTCTATTAAAAGAGGCGGATAGCAAGGAAAAGAAAAATGAGGGAAAATCCCAGCCGTTGAAAGTTAAAAGGAAGAGTTATTTCGAAGCTTCTCCAAAATGTATCATTTCTTGATTGGAAATGGCGGCAACCTAAAATCGAGTTAGATCGATCCGGCGGGTAGGGTCGTGGATTTTTAAAAAAAATCCTCTGATTTTTATAAGGAAAAAGTTTATATATGGTTGCAACCTTATAATGTAGAACTACCGCCACCTCAAAAATCTATCGAAAAAGGTAGTTTTAATGTTGAAAAACCCTTTGATTGATCATCTCGACATCCAGATATATGATCACGAGAAATAAAAAGAGTTTAAGTCTAAAAAATAATGCATTTTACAACATATTATTGACATCGTCTATTTTTAAGATTTTCATATATTTATAAATCTACATGATTTTAATTATTCCTTTTTTTTTAAAAGGTGCAGTTGGCATACGTATGCATCCGTAACCGTAGAGGTAAGGTGCGCCTTCAAATTTATAATGGTATATAATTTTGATATAAAATGTTTTTAGGATTATCTCAAAATCTATTTTTATATCTGATTATAAAATTTTAAATTCCAAAAATGGTTAAAGTCAAGTAGATCTATGTACATATTAAAATCTTGAAAATGAACGGTGTAGATAATATGTTGTAAAATGCACTATTTCAGAGACTTAAAATCTTTTTATTTTTCATGTTCATACATCTCAATGTCGAAATGATCAATCAAAGGGTTTTTAAACATTAAACTGTGGATTTTTTAGGTGCATCCGTAGCTGTACAACCTTATATAAACTTTTTCCTTTTCTAACTCTATTAATTTTTCTTATGGAAAATTGTTTCATGTGGGCTGGGCTGCAAGCGTACCTCCATCTTAAAGATGGATGCGAGTAGGTGTTCCATCTAAAAACAATAAAAACTAACTGTCCAAATGTTTTTTTACTATCATTATTATTTATAATTTTTATAATTTTCATATTTTTTTCATATTCATGATCTCCATGTTAGAGATTACATGTACTTAAAAATTAAGTCCAAAATTCTATTTTAAAAATAGATTTATTAATAGGCCTGCATTTCTACACATATGGGCTAGGCGGCATGGAAATCGAGTCCCTTTTTTATAGAAATGGTATAAATTTGTATTTTATTCTCTTCAAAAAAAACTTCTTCTCTAGAACTTTTATTTCTTTATTTACTTAATAATATTAAATTTTGGTTTAAAGATAAGTGCATTAATAGTCGGAGTAAATTAATAAGATTGATTTTAAAAAATATTCTATCAAAAAATTTACCAATAAGTTCCCTTAAAAAAAATGTACAAAAACTTATAAGCAATATATTATCCAAAAAGTAAGATATCGAAACAATCTTATATATCAAAATAATAAATAGAGTTAGAAGAAGAGCAACCCAATGTTTTTTTTTTTTTTAACCTAGAGCATCCTTATAAGGAGTAAGAGAGAAATTCAATAATTCTAAAGATTTTGGCAAATATACGAATGCAGCGTGAGATTTTAATTTACTTAAGCGTTTTGTTCCTTTAGTTTTGCATATAGAAGTTTGATTTCATATTTTTATTTTATTTTATTGGTGTATACAATATATTATTTTGGACGGACGATTATTTTATATATTTAGGTATTTGTTTTGAGTTCTAATTAATTGCAATCCTATATGGACCCGGTTTCTATGCGGCTAAACCCACATATCTAACATGGAGATTATGAATATAGAAAAATAAATAAATTTAAAAAACTAAAAAAAATAATTCTAGTGAGAAAACATTTAGACCATTAGTTTCCATTGTTTTTAGATGAAACAAATACTTGCACCCATTTTTAGGATAGATGCTTTACACTTTCTTGACCGCATATATAGAAATGCGGTCCAGCCCGCATGAAACAATTTTCCATCCTATATTGAGGGTATTTTTTATTTTGTGAACAATGATTATATACCCTCGTTCACGGTTCTTGTTATTTACTAATGTATTTTTTGTGTTTAATATTATTGCTATTGTATCATTTTATGCTTCCAATAAATATGACTGTGATGACAACAAAAAAAAGTATTATTGCTGGATTTATTAAGGATTTATTAAAGGACGTGGTTTGTATAGATCCTAGGCTCTAAACAATCAAATTAGAGCATACCTTCAAATAGTGTCGAGAAATGTGGTTTCATTATTGGAAATCTTTGTGATAGCCTTAAAATATATTTTCATATTTATTTATAAAGTTCAAAGCGTCAAAAATAGTGTAGATCGACAGATCTATGAAAACTTGAAAATTGACGGTCTAAAAATATGTTCCAAAACTTGAAATCTATTTATTTCTCATGTCCATGCATCTTGATATCAAGATGATAAATTTGAAGATATTTGGGCATTAAAACAACCTCTTCTACTGATATTTTTAAAGTAGCTCAAATTTGATTGTTTAGAGCCTCAGCTCTATATAAACTTTTCCCTTTATTAAAAGTCTAGACAATGAATTGTCAAGTATTACTTTAAGGGTGCAGTTTGTATAGAGCCTCGGCTCTAAACAATCAAATTAGAGCCTACCTTCAAATAGTATCTAGAAATATGGTTTCAATATTGAAAATCATTGTAATAGCCTTAAAATATATTTCCATTTTTATTTATAAAGTTTAAAGTTTAAAAAATAGTATAGATCGACAGATCGATGAAAATTTGAAAATCTTGAAAATTGACAGGAAAAAAATGCGTTACAAAATATACTATTTCCAAAACTTGAAATCCATTTTTTTCTCATGTCCATGCATCTTAATGTCGAGATTATCAATTTGAGGATATTTAAGCATCAAAACAATCTCTTCTATTGAAATTTTTGGGGTAGGCTCTAATTTGATGGTTAGAGCTTCGGCTCTATATAAACTTTTCCCTTATTGTAATGACACTAGGAATGGCCATAACATTTTTATACAATAACCGTAAATCATAATCATATAATGCCATCTTTACATATCTGATTTTTTCAATCTATTTTTTTTTTAGCCAAATCCGATGTATTCATGATTATATAACTTACCTGATTTTTTGGCGATCTGTATTTTTTACCCGATTTCTCTGCCTTTTTTTTAAAAAATAAAATTGATTTATTACTAATAGTTTAGTTCACCAATATATTATTATTCGCCGACTTGAAAAATATGGGTAAGCTTCGATTGCAGTGGCAACCGCCCATGGGCCCAGTCCGGGTAACCCGGAAGCCATTGCCACCCCTAATAAAAGATGTAGTGTGCTGCCATGCCTTCGAGTACTGGTATTTTTATATATCTCCAAAAGATTTCATGCTCTTGAGGAAGCGTGTTGTCTATTTACTCCCTCAAGTAAAAACCCAATTTAGGAGTAATTTTAGGACCCAAAATTGAAGAATGTGGCATCTTCAACCCATATGTTATATTCAATAATAATAAAAAAAGAATCCAAGTTACGTTGTGCATGTGCTTGAAAAAACACAATGCACGAAGATTGAATAGAAACCGTCAAAATTTTGAAGGGTGAGATCTAAGTACCAAAAAACTCAAAATTCAGATTATCTATTTCAACATAATCATCTAGTGATTTTTAGGTGGTTCCTGGAAGTTTGGATTAAATAAGTCTTCCCAAGTTAGTCTTTTGCCCGAGGGAGTAGGTGTACAATATATGCTCCAATGTGCGCATATTATTGGCACTCTTTTACATAACTTCATTTGCATATCATCTACCGTTCATCTTAATGAGACTATAAGTACAATTTCACAGGTCGGCACTAGCCTTATTTGTCAAGTATAATATTGATATTTGCTCCTTTCCGACGACTATCGGATAAAGATCGGTTGGTTAAGAGTTATTTAGTTTAGGAATTGTATGTAATGAGACCACGTATATTTGATACAAGGAGGTCACAATTACTTATAACCATCCCATGTGAAATCTGATAGCTTAAGTGTTTTACAAAATCTGAAAAAAATTATTTTGAAGTTCGAGCTTGGTCAATGGAATAAATGCAGCCATCTAGTTTCACATCTAATAATCAAAATTAATTTTGACCACTTTTTACCAAAGATTAAACTCTTCTCATGAAATTTTTCTTGGAGTAATACGGTCCTTCATAAGCAATATAGCGAAAAGAGAATTTAAGAGTGTGTGATTGGTTGATGGGGGGTCGCTAAAGCCCCCAGTTCATTTGATTGGTGGAGGGGGGGCCGCCAAAACCCCCACCTCCACAAATCATGAAAGCTGTGATTTCCATGCCTTGGCATGGAAGGGGTGGCTTACTAAAACATTTTAGGAGGCGCGCAAAACATCCTGCTGCTGTATTGTGGCTTCCAACTCCCACAACAAATGGAGGAGGCAAAATTGGTGGAACCTGGATCTCTGGCTCTCAAAAAGTTCCACCAATAAAATACGCATTAAAATAAAATAAAATAAAAGCAGAAAAAAAATAAAAAATTTATAACGTGCCAACCTTACACTATAGAAATAAGGCATACTTAAAAAATTCACAGAAAAAAAGTTGTCACTCCAATTAATTATATAAGTCGATTTGACTATTTTAGCTTCGAGATATATGGATGTGAAAAAAAAAGTTTTAAATTATTAAAAATAATGTGTTTTGGAACGTATTATCTGGGCCATCTATTTTCAAGTATTTATAGATATATTCAATTATATATTATTTTAAAAAATTTAAATTTTATGGTTAGAGATAAAAATGAATCTCCATAATATCATAAAAATATCATAAAAATTTCAAACCGATAGGCACCTACCTCAGATCATAGAAGCATTTCATGGACAAGGAGTGGATTTGTGAACTTCATATGCTGCCACGTGTCAAACATATCCAATTGCCCATGCTGAAAAGTGGAAAGCTGCAAGAGAATGAAGCATTCATGGGTTGGTTTTAGAACGGGGTGAGGTTTAGGTTTCCTCCTTATACTGTAAAAGCAAGGAGCACCTATAAAATCTATTTAGAGATGTTGTTTCATTGTCGAACACTTTACTATGGCTTCAAAATATTTTTTATCCACAACTATATGGTTTAAAATTTGAAAAATAGTACAAATCGAGCTGATCAAAAAACACTTGAAAATAGATGGTTTAGATATATTTTTTCAAAATACACTATTTTTTTAACTTAAAATTCTTTTTTCTTTTAATGTCTATTCATCTCAAGGTCTAAATGATCAGTTGGAGGGTTCTCCTTTGCCAGAACACGGATTTTTTAGGTGTACCTTACTTCAACAGTATAAGACTGCAACCTTATATAAACTTTATATTTTAGAACATGAGAGGTTGAGAATGTGACACCAAACTGTTTTATTTTTTTTACACCAAAATTTTGTATATAGAAGTGCTTACCATTACTTTAGAGAGAGAGAGAATAAAGCATTTATGATTGTGGACAACTGCTGAAGGCTGAGGAAAGAGCGAGAGAGAGCACAGAACAGAGAAGAAAAGGGAAGGAGAGAGAAAGGGGGAGAAGAGAGATATAGATAAGAGGAGAGAGAGAAAAAGGATCAGAGGAGAGGAAGAGAGAGAAAGGGGAAGATAAGAAATAGAAAAAAGATCAGAGGAGAGAGAGGAAAGGGGAGAAGATAAATATAGATAAGAGGAGAGAGAAAGAAGATCAGAGAGAGAAGAGAGAGAGAGAGAGAGAGAGAGGGGGGAGAAATAAAGAGGTGGAGAGAGGATGATGATATTGGAAATGTGTTCTCTCACTTGGAAATCATTAAATCCTACACTACATTCCACAAATTTCAACAGGCCAAGTCGACTCTTTTTCCACAAGAAGAAAACCAACTTGAATTTCCATAGAAATGAAGCTGGTGGCACCTCACACTCTTCGATCACCAGTGAGTTGTCTTGCAATTTTTCTGATTTTATCTCAATCGGTGTACCAGGACTCGTCCGAGTCAACTTGTAGTATTGGCCGAGTTAGGGCGAAGCCTGAGTTGTGTGTGCAACTCGAGGCACTTTAAAACTTAAAAAACGAAAATGAAAACTTGCATAAAATAAAATAAAAAATATATTGTACAATTTTTCATACATGATTTAGATCTATTTAGCTAAGATTGGTTGGTGTTTTTTTGTCATAATAATTTTTTTTTTCAAAAATACTCTAAATTATAAATTGTATTTTCTTAAAAAATACTCTAAATTATAAATTGTATTTTCTTAAAAATCCATGTTTCTCTGCTTTTTTAACGTTGTTTTGACTTTTTAAAGGTTCCCGTCTGAAATGACTTTTAAGATGTTTCTTATTTTTTTTCAAAAAGTTTCTTAATTTTTTTTTTAATTTCTTGAAGGTCTTTTAGCCTTGCGCTAGACTCTGCGTAGTAACTCGCCTCGGTAAGGGGGCGAGTCCCGGCACGCTAATCTCGATTTTGAAGCTTTTTTTTGCTGTTTAAAGGAAAAATTTGTGCCACTTGTATACACTTTATATCCATTCCACGAAAAGAAACAGTCCGATCAACAATCCCGACTAGAGCTGCTAGTCGGGTTGGTCGAACCAAGCCGGGTTCGGATCTAAACCCAAAGAATGGTCTCGGCAGGTCAAGCCCGGACCTTTCTGGATCAGATCAATGTCGTACATTAGCCATCTTTATCATTGAGAAATTAAGATGATAAAAAAAGTGCCTTGAGCTCTTTTAAGTTGAGAACTTTTGTATAAGCGTTACTAGGGGGTGGCAACGGGTAGGTCTGGCTGGACCCAGATTTGACCTGTCAGGTCCAAAATTTAGATTCATACTTGGACCTTGAGTCCGGTTGAGTCCATTGCCATTTCAGAACTTGACGATGTTTTTTTTTATTTACTTTTTTTACCATCATATATCATATTATTGGCAATATTTATAGTATTATGCAACATTTATGAATACCATGTATACCCACATTCCTTAGTGCTTTATGTAATAACTATAAATTCCTAAGAAACAAATGTATTGGCAACATTTATGAATACCCACATAACATATACCCATATTATTCGGGTCAGGCCCGGCTGGAGACTTGGACCGGTATTCGGGTCCAGGTTTTGAACCCAGACCCGAGGTTGCGTCTACCCATTGGGTCTGAGTCTATTGAAGTCCATTGCCACCCCTAGGCGTTACTTGCATTTTTGACATGTTTAGCCTTTCAAAATCTGTGCAAGTGGCTTCAAAATACAACTATTGCCTGTTGAAGTAATCCTAAATCTGTGGGTTTTTTTTTTTTTTTTTTGGGGGGTTTGTTTACACTTGATAGGATTCTTACAAATAAGTCATTTATTTCCATATATTATTTGATTAGAAGTAATGTTTTTATTCATTCAATTATTGAGTTTTCATGCAATCTACTTAATCGCAATTCGCAACTAGACATCTCTGATCACATCCTTTTTGTTTTTAAACCAAAGGATGCACCCTCCAAAATCCCGACGGCGAATACGAGCCATTGGTCGACTCTGATTGGCGATCCTTTCGAGCGAGGCTCGTGGCCAACGCTAATGCGCAAAGGCTCGATCCAAACACCAGCTCTAACCTCGACTCTGAACCCCCATCCGTCGCACTGAGTGATAAATGGGTTCACCCACTTCACGAACTAGAGGCAGGTTGCTTGCTAGTCGCAACAGAGAAGCTCGACGGAGTTCACATATTTGAGCGCACTGTCATCCTCCTCTTATCAAATACCAGGCCTGGCCCCTTCGGCGTAATCCTCAATCGCCCCTCTCTCATGTCCATCAAAGAGACGCAATCAAAAGATCTCGACGTGTACAAGACGTTCTCGGATCTACCTTTATTTTTCGGAGGGCCTTTAGAGGAGGGCTTGTTCTTGTTAGGTCTATGTGGTGAGGATGAACATGTAGGAGAGAGTGGTGTGTTTGATGAGGTGATGAAAGGCCTGTACTATGGGACAAAAGAGAGTGTGGGTTGTGCAGCTGAAATGGTTAGGAGAAAGGTGGTGAATGTGGGGGATTTTAGGTTTTATGATGGTTATTGTGGGTGGGAGAAGGAGCAGTTGAAAGAGGAGATAAGATCTGGTTATTGGAGTGTAGCTGCTTGCAGTCCAAGTGTGGTTGGGTTGGCTAGCACTGGGAGTCTTAATTTGTGGGGGGACATTTTAGGCCTCATGGGAGAATGGAAGGTGTGGTGAACAAAGTTAATTTGAGAGAAAGAAAGGTGTGGTTATCAAATTTGAGAGAGAGAGATATGTGACCTAAGGGGAATGGTTGCCCCTAAAACAAGGGGTTTCATCTCTCATATTTGGTGCCTGCTTCTTTGGCTTTGGGCATTGGAAGCATATGGAGGGGCCAAACCACTTCAATGCATTGATTTGGGGTCTAAGAATGTCTTTGTAAATTCCTAAGAAGAAAAGAAAAAAAATGATGTCCTTTGTAAATGTTTCAGTTTTTGCATTAAGACAGACATTCTAGGCACTTTTTTAATCTACCACATTAATTAAAGAGGATGAGGTTCCTAGGCTCTAAGAAAACAAAATAAAGCCACACCTCAAATCTTCGTCTAGAAAGTATTTTCAGTGATGGAAATCTCTGTGATGGCTTTAACAACAATTTCCAACACTGGCAGTAAATTTTGAAACTAAAAAATTGGTACAGATTTTATGGATATGTGAATATTTATTTTTAAGGCAAAATAGGTGGTCTAAATAATTTGATACAATATACACTAATTTAGAGTTTGAAATCTTAATTTTTTCCTATAACCATTGTCCAAGTCGAGATGATCGATGTAAAGTTTTTCCAATATTTGACTTGCAATTTTCGATGAGTTATAAGATGAGGATTTACGTATTTTGATAAAGCTATCAAAGCATTTTCGATTGAAAAATATGCTTAGTATACAAAGGTGGTATTTCAATAAATCCATCTAGTCAAAATCGATCTAAATTGTCAAATCCAAATATGGAATCCTTGGATAGTTTGATCAATTTAAGGCTTAGAAACCAACGTAAAATCTGCCCTTATAGCACCGATAAACCTTGAAAAAACACTATCAAGTTATCAGATCTGGGATATTTAATGGGAGTGAACCTAGATGAACTTTAGCAGAGGAAAGGTTGATCTCTACCGTCCAATATAGAGCACAATGGATAGAGATTATATATGGGATAATGTTGGGTACATGAGAATTATGTGGAACCTAGGATTCTAAATCAGATTTAAGGGTTTAAATTGATCATTTTAAAAAATACCGGGAAATTCTTAACATCCCATCTCAAAATTCATACTATGTTAGATTGTGTCAAAATTTTCAGGAATAAACTATCAATATAACGAAGAACAACAAATCACCATCAATATAATTAAGAACAACAAATCACATTTAATTCATTTACACTTTTTTTCGAAGTGGGTTACATTTTAGTAACAGCCTTTGCTTTAACAACTTTTAAACAATTATAGTTATACCTTTGTTTTAACAACTTTTAAACAATTCCAGTTATACCTTTGTTTTAACATCGTATATTTAGGTGATTGTTCTGCACTTTGGGGATCTGAACGGCAAAAGCTTTAACCATTACTAATATCTTTTCCCTATCAGATTCACATTGCAAGACGACTAGGATGGATTCACATCTGCAAAATCCATTGAACAATAATCACCTTAAATGAGACATCCAGTGCATGAAAGAAAGATGAGATACCCTGTATGACACGTAGATGTGTACTACTAAAAAAATTATCAAAAATTATTTTACAAAACTAATACTTGCATAATTGATAAATTATTTTATAAAAATAACACCTGTAAAATTCATTCAACAATCACCCGTGCACGAGAGAAAGATGTGCATTACACAAAATTTGTCCAACATTGTTTTACAAAAATAAGATAAAAAAATCAGTAACTTTTATAGTTCAATGAATTCACATATGTACCAAGATTATTTTACAAAAATAAGATAAAAAAATCAGTAACTTTTGTATTTCAATGAAGTCACGTGTGTGCCTAGATGACTACACATGACATAAATAGAAGTTAAAACCTGCAAAATCCATTGAAAGATCACCCGGTGCATTAGAGAAAGGCATATGCAGTATAGAAAATTTGCCCAAAATTATTTTACAAAAATAAGACAAAAAATAGTAATTTTCAATGAAGTTATACAAAATGGCTACACAAGCTGACTACATAAATGAACCAAATCATGTAGAGAGAGAAATTCCAGTGTCAACCACAATACCTATCAATACACAGATGCAGTTAAGCACAAATTCCTGAAAGGCAATGAAACACTCACTTGATCAATGGCAGGTAAAATATTCTGGTCTATGTGATCTTGCCGTGGAATATAATTTTTTATTTTTTATTTTTCCACCCTTTTTTTGTTTTCTTTTCTTTTGACAAAAATCATTGTTATTACAATAACTCTTGCTGCAAAGAAAATAAAACTAACAAATCCAATATCTTAAAAACCTTGATGCCATTAAATCAAGTTCTTAAAAACCTTAATGTCATTAAATCAATTTTCTTTAAACAAAAAATATATCCACAATTCTTATGCTTGGGAATATAAGTAGAATATAATTAAATATGACAAGAATTCTTATGCTTGGGAATATAAAAACAATATAATTAAGCAAAAGTTTATATAGAGCCGAGGCTCTAAACAATCAAATTTGAGCCTACCACAAAAATTTCACTAGAACAGATTTTTTTTATGCTCAAATATCCTCAAATTGATCATCCCGACATCAAGATGCATGAAGATGAGAAAAAAATGGATTTCAAGTTTTGGAAATAGTATATTTTGTAACGCATTTTTGGACCGTCAATTTTCAAGATTTTCGAGTTTTCGTAGATCTATCGATCTACATTATTTTTTAAGCTTTAAAGTTTATAAATAAAGATGAAAATATATGTTAAGGCTATCCAAATATTTTCAGTATTAAAACTACATTTCTTGATACTATTTGAAGGTAGGCTCTAATTTGATTGTTTAGAGCCTAGGCTCTATACAAATCGCACCCTATAATTAAATATGGCAATAAACAAAAAGAGAGTGCCGGAGATTAACCGGGTTCAGTACACCTATCCTCCTTCCGATCGTGCTCGGTATCTATTATTGATCTCTTATTCTCTTATATATGGCAAAACCCTCATATGGATCTCGATCTAACAACTACCTAAGGCTTAAATACGAGTCTTGTTTAAGCGGCAAATACTTTTATACATACCTCTTCTGGTTGATCCACACCATATTGTATTATCTTAAAATGATACGCACTAACTAATAATCCTCTTGGTGCCGAGCACAGTGAATCTTCAGATTTAATTGGCAAAGCTTCTATTCCTTGGTAATCGAAACCGAAAATCTATACCAATATAATTAGATCGTAGATAGACAAATCTATTTCCTCTAGTCCGTAAGTTTAGTTTGATTATTTATTTCACTTAAACAATTGGTTGGCCCTATCCACTATCACAGACGCAAAAACTATCTTTTATTCTTAATGGAATCAATATTCAACATATTATGAAATATTAATAAAATGAATATTTTGATATTTGGAATTCAAATAAAAAAATTTGAAAATAAACGTAGAATAATAATCTAATATAGAATTAAAATATTGAATTGAATTATTTAATTTAAATATTCTATTCAATTTATTTATTTTTAGCTTTGATCTTTGGAGAGAGATTAAAGTGAGATCTACGTTAAGCGATTTAGAAAAGAGAGATCATTTGAGTGTGAAAATTATCTAATTTATAAAATCCATAAATCCAATTTTTACCTTGAGATTTGATCGAAAGAATAGATCGACTATGGGCAAGCAAAAACGAAATCATTATAAATAACACCATCTAACAGAAAGAATAGATCGACCATGGGCAAGCAAAAACGAAATTATTATAAATAACACCATCATGAAGTAATATAATTAAATACCTCTTCAATCTCATCCATTGTCCTAGCCTAATTTATCATTGAATGCACTAACCGTAGTTATAAGCTTACTACTAATTAGATTTCTCCTCTTATTTTTTTTAGTTTTTAGATTTGATATCACAAAATTGGAGGTTTGCTTGAAGTTATATAAACAAACTCTTGAAAGATTTTTATAACATAAAAAAAAAAAAGAAAAAAAAGAGCTTAACACAATAAAAAGAGCATGTTATTCCAAATCATTGTCATGTTGAAAGCATGCGATTCATTTTGAAGGGTAACAATTCTCCTCCACTATCCATCCTTGAGTAGGGATGATGGACACCTATACGCAATGGATAAAAAAATGTAGTGGGGTGTTATGATGCCTTTCAGTATGGGTGCTTTTTCTATATCTCCCCATGAATATACATGAATATTGTTTAGAGACATCCAACCATTCGATTTTAATAAGAAACTAAGGAGCGAGCGAAGGACAATATCACATGTTGGCACTAGATTTGTTTGTCAGGTCGATGCATGATATTATCTTTTTTGAACGTTTAATCGATGCGTGATATTATCATTCACTTTATTTTATCAAAAAAAAAAAAAATATTATCACTCACTTTCCCAACTGTCTAATCAAAGGTCGTGAGTTTCCATACAGACATAAATTATATACGCATTTCCCAGCAACATTTAGGAGTGAGGTTTTTTTAATACGGAAAAAAACATAGAGTTGAATTCTTTTTTTTTGGAAAAGATTTATACGAGGCGAGGTCCTAAACAATCAAATTAAGGCGCACCTCAAAAATTTCACTAGAAGAGCTTGTTTCGATGCCCAAAAATCCTCAAATTGATCATATCAACCTCAACATGCATAGACATGAGAAAAAATGAATTTGAAGTCTTGGAAATAGTGCATTTTGTAATGCTTTTTTGGACCGTCAATTTTCAATTGTTTGCTCGATCTACACCATTTGTTAAGCTTTGAATTTTATAATTAGAGATGAAAATAAATTTTCGGCCCATCACAAAGATTTGTAGTATTCAATCAATATCTTTTGATTCTATTTGAAAGTGCACCTTACTTTGATTGTTTAGGTCCTCGGCCTTATACAAACCACACAGCGTTTTTTTTTTTTTACTCAGCTCCATGGAATGCGCATACCACGTGGAAGACACATCAATGAGAATGCAAGGAATAATACACTAAGGTTTTAGCCAACCCTGTGAAATTTTGACATGTTCAGCATATATCTTATCTAATAAGAATGCAAGGAATAATACACTAAGGTTTTAGCCAACCCTGTGAAATTTTGACATGTTCAGCATATATTTTTATCTCATAACAAAACAAGACCCAAGCATTGAAAAATAACTCAAGAGATATTGCCGCCGTTGCCTTTTACAGTATGTGATGGCTACCATAACAGGTTTATTCCATGTTTTGCAAAAGTCAGAGTGGTTTGCACCATAATTCTTCTCTAACTTGAAAGCGTTTTGGTCGAAATCAAAGAAAGGATTTTCTCTTCTTTCTCTTTTTCTTGTGAATGTTACAAGGCTGCTTTTATTTTGCTAAAAGATTTCGTGGCGTATTTTTAGGCTCGGAAATGTTTGGGGATGTAACTTCTTCAATCTAGCAATTACCCTTAGATAAAATTTTCAAGTCATTGTGTAGGTGCCTGAAAAAATAACATCTCAAGATTCAACAGAGAGTCCAATTTTTAGATGGTAAGCTTAAAATCTTGAAAAACTTCAAAACTTATTTTCTATTTATGAAAATAATCAACTTGTTGTTCTCAGGAGCATCCAATTTTTCACATCAAAGATATTCTTCCTTGAAGGTCTTTCACCTGGAGACATCAAAAGATATCCTTCCACGAAGGTCTTTCACCTGGAGGTAGTGCACAGTATGGGATCCTATATGCTCCTTTTTTTCTATTTAATTTTGTTCTTCAGTAGTCAGTATGTTCAATATTTCACATCAAGGATATTCTTTCATGAAGGTTTTTCACGTGGAGTTAGTGTACACTATGCTCCCTCTTCTTCGGGAGAAAGCATTACTTGCTGACATGATCCATATGGCAATGATGGTCATGAGGGTCACCAATGTTCCATAAATGGGTTGGATGGTGATGGAAGGAGAACAACACATGTTATTGACTCAACTGTACTACTCTTCTACAGCGATGACGCTGATGACCATGCAATTACATTGATCATGTGGATCAAACTACAATTTCCCTTCCCAGAGAGCTCGTTCCTGGAGACTGATTTTTTTTTACTCCAATACCAGAATGGTTTGCCTTAAATCAATTTCTGTTTTTTAACACGTTTTGACAAGAATGACCTGGGCGCGGAATCGCTGGGTCCCAAGTCCGAGTCATCAACCGAATGAACCATGTCAGAGGACTCAATCAGTTGAGTAGGGGAGGCAACAGAATAATATGACCAATTGGTTTCATAGTATATGATCCCATATAAAAGAGAGATGGTCGATTAGGATTTCTTATGGGTGGCAAGGATTCGCTAACGTGACCTAGAGGAGGTATCTATAGAAGTGGGATCCATGCGTACACTAAATTACCAGCAACCCACTGTTGGACTTCAGCAGAATTCATCTCTACCATCCAAACAACGAGTACCAAGAAAATAACATCTCATGAGATCTAGAGATAAAAAACCCAGAGATTACCAATCCGAATTGATCGATTTTAGAAAATGCGAATGCCAAATTCTTAACATCACATCTTAAAAAGCAGCCATTAATCACAAGCCACCAAAAGGCTGATCAACATCATCAAGAACGGCAAAGCACAAAAGCTTTTAACTACAGTCACTTGAGGATCATTTACAAGATCTTCATTTACAAGATCTTAAAAAAAGTAGAGTTCACAAAAATGGATCATTTACAAGATCTTCATTTACAAGATCTTAAAAAAAGTAGAATTCACAAAAATGGATCATTTACAAGATCTTCATTTACAAGATCTTAAAAAAAGTAGAATTCACAAAAATGGATCATTTACAAGATCTTAAAAAAAGTACAATTCACAATTTTTATGGATCATTTACAAGACCTTCAAAAATAAAAATTTACAAAAACCCAAAACAGACTCTGTGCATATCAACAACAAAAGCAAGACATGACATCGCTATCATGCATTCAACTCTTGAGAGGATCTAAATGAAATTCAAGTTTTCAAACCTTTGAAGAAATTGGCTTCGTCAGTTACCAACCCCTAAAATCAACAAAAAAACATCACATTCTTAACGTCGTTATGGATATCAGGTAGACGCCTTATAGCAACATCCCCCGCCTCTCTGTTACCCCTATCCGCAACCGACCCACTGTCTGAGAGATTTGGATCCAAGTAATACCTTGCTCGAAATGCACCAAGGTGTGCATAATAAGCTGGAGGAACTGCATTGGCAAATCAGACCATATGTGTTATAACTTTAGTTGATACAAGTCCCTCTATCCGTCAGTAGAAAATGAGAAATTACCTATAGAAACTGAGCGGGTGCAACGCGCATATCTGAAATGGACCAACCAAAATAGTCTAGAATGAAAAAGGAGTCTGAAGGACTAAATATCTCAGTATCATAAAACCCAAAACATGGGCTCTTTTCTTCCTTGTCTTTTTCAGACACCGTAATCATAGAGTTGGGTGAAACTTAAATAACAAAAGACATGACTTACGTATAACACAAATTGTTGGTTAGGCTTTGAAGGCCATCAGCAGTAAAGTTGTTCTCATCAAAGAGAACATGATAGTGAGCAGGCCTGCTGGTACCCTACAAAATCCATTGCGTAATCACTCGGTGCAAGAGAGAGATGTGCATTACACAAAATTTTCCCAAAATAATTTTACAAAAATAAGACAAGAAATCAATAACTTTTATATTTCAGTGAAGTTACCTGTATACCAGCATGACTACACAGAAAGAAATCAAATTCGGTTGGGTGGCAAATTTTCGTATCAACCACAGTACCTACCAATATGTGAACTCAGTTACGCACATTCCCAAGTCGAAATACAATGGAAACATTGGCTCTAAGAACAATTAGTGATCATTACCAGGTAAAACATTCCCACTCCTATCGACTGAACTCTGGTTGTTGTGATTATTCGCGAACAATCGGGTGCGATGTCGCTTTTGACAGACAATAAAAGTCACAGGAGGCAGATAACCCACCTCCAATGAAGCACAGGCCTATTATTTGGTAAAATAAATCAGAATTCTATAACCAAATGGAAAAATTCAAAAAATCAATGCCACAGCAGGAAAGAACTCCTCTGAACTCTACCTTGCGGACTGCATCCATCTCTTCAAGCAAGACTTGAGCGAACTGGCCCTCACTAACTCCATCTCTGACAGAGAGCATCATAGAAAATCGAAGCATTACCAGACAATAAAAGGAGATGATGTACTGCTCTGTAAATAATTTTCAACAACTATTTTCACCTATAGAAGATGATCCGCTGAGGCTTCAATCTGTTTTCTCTCCAGAACGAAATCAGAAGCTCCCTAACAAGAACATCATCAACAATTTGTAAACAAGTGGCCTGCTACTATTCTCTTCGACAAAAACACAAATTTACAAGATACAAAACCACATAAAATACGATTAGGAGTGTGTTTCCTATATATCACGTCAAATGGTAACAAAAATACACAGGTCGAATGGTAATAGGAAAACAGAGTGTAATTAACGAGTATGGTTCTTCCATATTAGATTTGTCACTTACCGAATCATACCACCATGTACAAGTCCAGTTGGAAGATGCTGACAAGTGTACAAATCAGTGATTATTTCCCTCCGATGGGCTTGAGTTGAAACCATGACCTTATATTTTGTGATCTCTGGCCAATCTTGTGAAGCCGCAACCTACAACAGCATTCTATGGGTCATCAAGAAGGTATTCATCATCATGAACAACATAGAGAGATGGAAGAGATCCCATGGAATTTTCGATGTTATGGAATTAATGACCCTTTTTATGAAATTAGTGACTTGCATTGAAGCATTATTAGTGTTTTTATTATTTGATCAGTAATAGCTTCTTCTTTATATGAAATAATTCTGGACTCATACCGCTGCAATGGAAGGACTCGAGTCCTCCCCTGGTTGAGGATGGGTGACATCAGCACCAAATATTATTGTTGGCTGGTCTGTCACCATAGGAATTCTTTTTTGTACTGCATCAATGAGCACAGAATTTCGACCACCCACCTACAATTGGATAAGTAAGTAACACAAACCTTCCATTGCACTGGCACATAATTAGAGGAAGAAATGGCTCAAACCTTGACATTAATTTTCAAAGCGACGTTCTCAAGATACTGCTGCCTGTTAGGTTTGGTAACATGTTTTGGCTTGCAGCATTGTGAGATAATCCCATACTTTGTCTCACATAAGCATTTCAACTGGCCTGCACTAGAAAAGTATGAAATTAGCCTTCATATGTTCGCTTAGAGACAAATTACAAAATGGAGGTAGGAGAAGAAGAAATTGCGAATGTAATAATACCACATCAAGCATTAGAAATGCGTACCATATAATGATCCAGTTACATCAGGTAGGATTACAATCAGCAAAATAGGTCGAGTTTTTGATGTTCTGCCATGCACATGGTCTAATAGACGCTCAACATTCTCTGGACGGGCATTTGCAAAAGGAATAACTGGCCTCGGATTGAACTCCTACAAATTGTTAGACACTGTTAGCAGAATAATCAATAGCACAGATGCTAACGCATACATCATAGCAAATGGAATAATAGGATAAATCCAATTTATTTAGAAAAAAGAGAGAATTTTAGGGTTAATCCATTATACCATGCCCAATCTTCTGCATATAGCAACCAGCTCATCACAAAAACTTTCAACCGCATTAGGGTATAGTTTCGAGAAGTTTACACAGGCCCAAGTGGGGACAGCTCCGGCATTGACCATTTTCTGAGTGCAAGTCAGAAAAAACCATAAAAGACGGTGATCACGGGTAAGAACATGATGGTACTTAGAAACATAATATCAAATGCTTGCATTGAAATGGATAGGTAAGGCTTCTGAAACATATGTGAGGAGCATAGAAAAAGGAGTAAGTAATCAAATAACAGGAGACACAACGAGGAGGAGAACCAAAAGAAGCCCACCTTGTCAATCATATTCCACTGACCCGTACGTGGAGTGCAGTGTCTCTCTTTTCCTGTTTCATGATACTTTAACTGCACAAACATGATAACAACATTAAGAGCTCCCTTTAACAACATATCAGCCTTGAAATTAAAACAGAAGCAAAGAAAATAAATAGCATCAAACAATTACCATAGGAGGACGCAACACACGAGCTTCAACAGTTGTGATGTTTTCACTGACTCTAATACCGAATTCCCTAGCATAAGGGTCATCAGGGTATCTATTCTTTCTAATCATCTATGCAATCAAAACAAAAAGGAGAACCAAATTAACAGCCAAGGGACTCTAAAAGGAAAAATCTCAGTTTCATTAAAAGAATCTTATTAAAAACCTAGGGAATCTAATAGGAAAAAACTCAGTTTCAGTAAAAGAATCTTATTAAAAACTGAAACAAACATGTAAGTTATGGCAGGTTAGCTTGATAGCTCAAAAAAGTAAGTATTACATTGATGCAATTTTGCTCACGATCACGAGGACGTTGACATGAAGCTCGTAATAGAGCAGTCACCTGCTTCTCATTCAACTTCTTCTTGTAGTGTTGTCCCTCCACAATTTCACAAAGCTGCAATAAAAATTTTCCCACTGAACTTTGAGCATGCACAAAATGCATGATAAGAAAAAATATGAAAAGGATAAAAACCAGTTACCTCCATGGGAATGTGTATTGCTCTCCTCCCATTACCAACTTCTAGAGCAGGCAAATAGACATGTTTAAGACGAATGTTGTACTTTTCCATGAAGTACTTAACCACAGTTGTATCGGTGCCTTGCTCCTCATTATGGAACCTGGAAACATAACTTTTTATAAATTCAAAGGAAAAAAGATGAATGAAGTCTAAAATCCACAGCAAGGAAAGGTGTTTCATTCGCAAAGTGAGAGACAAAGGAAAACTTTTACATTTAAAAGGTTACTCAAACAAAAAGGCAACTTGGAAAAATTGAAGGCAAACCTGGCATTAAGGGAAAGAAAACCTTTCATTAAAGAATGAAAGGCTGAAACTTACACCAACTGACTTGTTGATTCCTGAGTTACACCAGAAACTCGATATCTCCTCTTCGTATGGGTGACCTTGATATTGACCCCTCTGAGGGCCTTCTTTACCTGAGATATGCAGATTGGAAAAAAGAAATGAAATTGCACATTAAAAATAAGATATTAGTAATCATGAGGATACATGACCAAATAGAGAATACAAAAGGGCTTAAAAAAGAGAGAGAAACAGAAATCAAAAAAGAATTTAGGAAGACAGGTCGATGGGTAAAACACGAGCAAGAAATGGAAAATTTTCAAGAAAAATGCACAAGTTAAACAAAAAGCAACAAAACATCTCAAGAAAACATGATAAAGACAAGCACCTTCACTCTTTCCTGATCAGATAACTGTTTGGGGTAATCCTGTTTCAAAAGATTACAGACAAAGCCGATTACAGGAATTGGATCATAAAAGGAAGTCGATGACATGTCTGCAAAAGAAAACAAGCAATCATCAATTCAAGTTACAAAATAATCCAAGTGAAACAATCATGACAGATGACTGCACAAAATCATAATTCGATAGTGGAGTCAAAGTTGGGAGCCCAGGGTGCACAAAATCATAATTCGATGGTGGAGTTAAAGTTGGGAGCCCAGGGCACTCACCAATATTAAGAGATAAACCCATCTGTTTGGGTAGAATGCTCTGATAATATCCTCTCCAGCATTCTAACCCATCTGGCATCTTTTCTATCTTACCCAATTTAGGTGAATAGAAGTTCCGACCAACAGGAATATAGCTGAGGAAGACAGAGACATAAATCTAAAATTAAAGAAGTATCAAGACAAATACAAGGATCTGCAGAAGGACATAAACTGAGATTCATACTTAAACTAATAACTATAATAAAATTGAACAAAAGATAAATATAAAAAGGGGACACACTTTCTTGTAGGTAGCTCCCTTAAAACCACATCAAGGGCTTGTATTGCCTCTTTAGGGCAGTCTAATTGTCTTCCTTGCAGGAACTGACGCAGATGATCGATAGGAACAATAGCAGCAAACCGGATTGTCACTGTATACTCTTTTTCTCGCCTAAACCCAACCAAATCAAAAATAAAATGAGAAATTCAACAGCAAAAAAAAAGAGGCATTCAGAAACTTAAAGGAACACATCGTTGACGGTCAGTCAGAAGCTTATTGAGTATCATCAGCATCCATGAAGCAGGCAATATTTTCGACAATATACAAGCTCTTTGAGCAACACTTTCCAATAGAGAAACCAAGACGCCCTAGATTAAATTTACATTGAAAGAAATGATCAAATTCAACATCGAAAACCATTCCTCAAAAGAACACAGCACCACATATATAATACAGAACCAGACACAATATTCATGGACAAGGTGATAATCAAGACTTGTAAAGATACCAAACAGAAGTCCTAATTAATATCATAGAAAAGAGATGTTTCTGATAATGTCCAAGTGCCTCCTAGAGAATTTTTAAGTACCAGGGATAAATAGAATCAGACACTATTTATGAGTATAATCAGTATCAGTTAACTAGAAATGAATTTCTCATAATGCCCATGTTTTGAGCATCAATCCAGTCTTCCATTGTACAAAACTCAAGAAGCCAGAGGTTTTTTTCTTTTTGCATTTTTGTGTGCCCAGCATTCATGGATACTATTTTTTACAATATATTGAATCCAACAACAAAAAGAAGAGCACATCAGTATTTACTCTATAGTAGACCATAATAAACTATCAGAAAACATCATTTTCATAACTAACAGAATGACCCACTATTAACAGAACTTATACTTAGTTTTGACGATCAATAATTTTTGAAATATGAAAACAAATAAGGAACAAGAGTTTAGAATAGAAAAAAGCTAACACAGAACTACAATCTTATCAGTTATCAACAGGACAATCCTACAGAGATCTACCATTTGTTTCGGAGCAACTCATGGTCTGAAGATCATCAGAATGTACCCTTTTGAGTTTTGGATAACACGAGGATTTCTGTTTTTATCCCACTCTCATAGAAGCATCATTTCTAAAGTGTGTGCAACATAAAAAAGGGTAAAAAGGGGCATCCAAAGAAGATGCCCCACTCACGTTCGGGCTACTACATAGATGCTGCCCCAACAGCGTTGAACCATGGTTTGGGGCGGCATCCAGGATGCAAAGGTGCACCAATCAAAAAGACTGAATTAACAATAAAGAATAAGATACTCATTTCCTTTTTTTTACTTATATAGAGTAAAACAATTCATCCCTGCTAATTTGGAGCATCTACCCTCATACAGATATATTAAAGCTATGGATTAACAACAAAAAATCAGATACTATTTTCTAATAGTCCATCGTGATGAAGTCCTGTCCTGAAGTTCTGGATACCAACAATGAATCACACATCATTTGTTGAGGACTGTCATCATCACTCTTACTATTTGTGAAAACAAAGAATCAATCATAGAATTAAAAAACACTTTAAGTAACTAAACACTGCAAGGTCCATTCCCTCACACATAACACAAGAATTAGATACATAATAATAGAAGACAATGAATGTTGCAAAAACAGCCCACCTAGGTAGTGTTACATGGCTACTTCAATATGTGGGGCATCCCAACACATGTTGACAATTAGACGTGAGCCAACACTCGGTGACACGGCCCTGACACAACTTGTACGTGTCAGGTGACATCATCATATTTCAGTACATCTCAATATGCCTGACGCAAGTATCGTGCATCTATTGGACAGCTAGGTCCAAAGAACTACAGAAGAGTATACTGGATCTTTTCTAAGGAAGGTGGTGAGGTTTAGGATTGATTCCACAAGCTCTCTTATGCTTGTATCTTATCCCCTTTAATTTACATGCTTTATCCATTTTCAACTTATTAAAAATAATAATAATTGTTGTGCCACCCAGATATTTCAAAGCAAGGAGATCTTGCAAAAGAGCACTTAGGGTCAGCCAAATTATTATTTGAAACAAAAACATAGCCCCCCAGAACCAGCCAAGCTCGAACTTAGGACATCTTGCTAGGGAACATCAAAATCTACCACTTCGCTACCTCTTGTTATATAATAAAATGAGAAGCCATATTATACATAGTGAAAAGCTCACTTTTTAATGCAGTACTTGTACATATGTGGCTTGTCATGCTAGCTTTTTATGAGAAAGCAAGGGACACTTTAGAACAAAGTTCTCTAAAATGGACTCAACCTGACAATCCGAACAAGAAACCAGCAGACTGGAATTTGGTTCAACCCAGTAGACATGAATGTCCATCAAACCGATCAGGAAAATATGGACCAGCTAGTTCACCAATTTGTGAATGAAGCAGACAAACCTGAGAGGGAAAAAATATCACTTTTTCTGCCTTCTAATTTTTAGTTCATTTTTTCCACTTTTTTGAGTTGTTTTATGGTCTTTTATTTTTTTTCAGGGGGCATTTTCTGGATAAAAAGGGTTGGTTTTGGAGAATTAACAAGTTTTCTAAAGAGGAAAAAAGCATTGGCAACCTTCCTTCCTTCCCTCCCTCCCTCACTCCCTCTACAAGAGCACACCTACCCTATTTTCTGGTGACTTCCAGGGAAGATTCCAGCAATCATCCCACTGATTTGAAGCCCCAAGTAAGCATATATATATAGATAGTTACTTGGATGTCTTAGGGGTTTTGATATAGACTATTTTTTCCAAACCAAAGCAATGTATTGTTTCTTTTGTTGATTTTAATAATTTTTTGACATTATTAAGTTTAATGTTGTATTTTTGCTTTTTAAGAAGCCTTGGATGCAATTTTTTCTAAAAGGAAATATATCGAAACACCTATAAGAATTGAATTATTTAACATTTACCCATTTGGTACTATTCCAAGTCATGGTTATGTATATGTTCATGGGTATTTTGAAAATAAATCAAAAAATATGAGCAGAATGTTAAATAGCTTGTCTATCATGGGTATTTGGACAAGGAAGATGGTTTGATAGGGCTACAACCCTATTAAAATAAGTAAAACCTCACCTCACAACTCATCGGAAATTGCAATTCAAGCGTCGGAACAACTTTTAAATCAATCATCTTGGCTTGAACATTATGGTTGTGAAAAGAAATTAGGATTCATATTTAAAAATAGTGTATATTGCAAGAAATCATCTAGACCGTCCATTTCACCCTAAAAAGAAGTGTTCACAGTGCCGCAAGATCTGTACCATTTTTTTAAGTTTCAAATTTTATTACCAGTGTTGGAAATTGATTTTAGAGCCTTCATGGAGATTTCTGATGCCAAAAGTGCTTTCGAGATGAATTTTGAGGTGAGGCTTTATTTTGTTTTCATAAAGCCTAGGCCTTATTAAACCTCCATCCTTTACATAAATTTTCCATTAAAAAATAGATACAATGTTTGTTTGGTTTGTTATTACATTTGCTGTTTTTATTGTTTAACACTTTAATCATTAGTGTTAACATATGGTGATGATGACAATGATGATGATGGTATGGTCTAGCTTAATGAAACTATGGAATCTAGAAAACATTTTTTTTAATATTTGTAACATTATCCTTAGTTTATGTTATCACGGGCCTTTCAGGACCTAGCTGAGGAACCCACCTTGGTCACTCTTTGCAGGAGAGTGGAATTTCCCTCAGGCAAGCGATATTTTTGTCTTCTTCCGCATTTTACAGGTGGAAAAAGGGGAGAGGAGACAGTCTAGGCACCTCCCTCCACCAACAAAAATTGAATTAGGGTTCTTCTAATAAGAAAACAAAATTTGTGGATTTCACAAAATCTTTTAAAATCATTTTTTCTCAAAAAAATTCAAAAAATTTGAGTTTGAAAAGTAATTTCAGACCTAACTTTTGGTTTTATTGGATTTGTTGTAAACTGTCAAAAGAGGTTATAAGAAGATCTTTTGGATGACTCGGCATAACTGATATGTATGGTTGGCATCCACATGCAGTATAAATGATACATATATATGCATCTGAAGTGCACATATATGCATATATGTGTGCCCTTTGAAACCGTGCTGGGGCACCTAAAAACCCAGGCGCCTGCTTAGCCCCTAAGCAGCCAAAGTCCCCAACCACTTAGGCTTGACCTAGCATTTTTGAAGAAAACATCAATTTCAAGCATCAATCCCTCATAGATTTAAACACATAGAAATCAAAGATCCCACAAAATAGAATTAGCACTACTTGCAGACAGTGTCCAAGTTTTGAGTACCATTCATGTAGAACTCAAGAGGCCCTTAACTAACAATGTGGAATCAGATATTACTTTTGGAGCGAGTACATTATTTCCTTTTGGCATAATATCGAAAACTCAACATGGAGCAAAAAGAACTTCATTGACGGTTTTGATAACTACTCATTTTGTACCTTGATTTCTTTTATTTTCTTTTTCTTTGATTGGTGACATTGACACCTTAATTCTCAACTCGGAGCATGATTCCACTGACAATTTTGAAAAATTTATGTAGCAAGAAATGCTAGACTATTATAACAATAATTAATACTCATCATACACAACAAATTGAACTTAATCAATTTCAATAAGCATGATTTCGTTATATAATAAGGAAGCATTAGTTTTAAAGAAAGCATTGAATTAAAAAAGAGATATGCACTAAAATACCTCTGCAAGGTACTAGAACCAGCCACTTCATCAGACAATTTGATAGTAAAATTCTTGGAAGCGAAAGGAAGAGGCCCTGCAGTATAGAGACATTTCCTGCCATCATATGCAGGCAACCTTCTTCCTAGTGAATCCTTGTGCAAGCGAATCAGGTCACTGATAATGATTCTGTTCCTTTCCATCGACCGAACCTCAGGAGTAATCGTAACCTAATTTTACATAAATGCAAGCCTTAAGAATCATTGCACCCAAAACAATATATATATATATATATATAACCAAAAAATTCATGTCACTTTGCTATAGAAAATGTACAGGGATCTAACCAAAGTCAACAAGAGCTCAAACTTCAAAACTTAATTCATTTTGCAGGAGAAAATGAGAGATATGACTCACAATAACATGAGCTAAGGCCTAGGAAATCATTTCATATTTCAGCATAGAATTTGCGAAGAATTGACTCGCATAAAAAAAACCTGAACTTAGAGATATTTGCAGAGATACAACCCAAATCAACAAGAGCTTACACTTAGAAGATCCTTTCACATTGCCATAAAAATTTTGCAGAGATATGACACATATCACAAAGAGTTAAAGCATCATTTCACATTGAAGAAACGTTTGCACAAACATGACTCAAATCAACCAGAGCTAAAACTTAAACATATTACCATAGAAAATTAGCCAAGAGATGACTCGCATCACCAAGAGCTAAAACTCGAAGCATAACTCACATTGCAGAAGAAAATAAACAGAAATACGAACAAAATCAACAAGAGCTTAAACTTAGAAAATCATCTCAAAATGCCTAACAAATTTGCAGTTATATAACACACATCAAGAGCTAGAACTACATTGAAAAAAATAAAAGTATGAGCTAAAATCTTATAAGAGTGTCAAAATTGAGAGGATCATTTCAACATTAACAGAACAAATGTACATCATTAACATAACAAATGCACAGAGATATGGCGTGCACCAAGAAGAGCTAAAACTTAACTTATGGTTACGAAAAAACCAGTCACAATGAGCAGAGACAGGACTCGCTTTTCTTCTTTTTTTAGGGGATATGCTAACTGTAGGAATGGAGGATGTTGAGGTATCAACCCCCTAACCACCAATGCCCCAACCCCACTCCTGTCGAGACTCCCATTATTGAAAGGTAAAATTATAATTTCATAAACAACAAGAACTAGAGTTCAAAAGGTTATTTCAGAAAAAATAAGATATTACTCACATATAAAAGAAGAGCTAAAACTCTCACCATACAAGATTTGCAGATACATCACCATTTCCAAATCAAAGAAAATGTGAAGAGACATGAACAACGTGCACTTACATCGTAGTGGACAATCTCATTGCACGAGAGCTGAACCAGAAAATGGTTAGCATTGACTACACAGCGATCACCAGCCCTTCCATAGCCTGGCCGCCTTGGAGGCACCAGAGCTTTACTAGATCGCGGCAGTGGATCTGAAATTGTAAGTCGCTCAAGAAGCTGATCTGAGCTCTGAGAAGAGGAAACCAGAGCTCCTGTTGATGCAGAAGTAGAGACCGGAGCTCCGACTAATGAAGAAACAGAAACAGAGATCTCAGAAGGACCACTAGCTGACGACGAATGAAGAGGCGCAGCTCTAGTACTAGTTGAATGAGGAGGAGGCGGAGCTCTAGTACTAGACGAATGAGGAGGAGGCGGAGCCCGAGTTGATGAAGCCGCAGAGGTCTGAAAAGCTGGCGGAGCTCTAGTTGATGAAGCAGCAGAGGTCTGAGAAGCTGGCGGAGCTCTAGTACTAGACGAATGAGGAGGAGGCGGAGCTCTAGTTGAAGCCGCAGAGGTCTGAGAAGCTGGCGGAGCTCTAGTTGATGAAGCAGCAGAGGTCTGAGAAGCTGGCGGAGCTCTAGTTGATGAAGAAACAGAGGCCTGAGGAGGATGCAGAGCTCCGCCTACGGGTTTATTAGGGTCTTCAGGTTGTTGAGTTTTTTTGGAGCGTCTAGGCATGTTTGCGGCAAACAAAGAACAAGATGACAGAGAGATCCTAGAGAGAGAAAAAGAGAAAACCAAGAGTAAAAAGCAGAGGATCGCAGAGAAGAGAATGAGAGGCACACACCAATCAGAAACAAGAGAACAAGAACGAGAAGCACAAGACCCTGGGAAGAAAATTACAAGCCCAAAACAACAGAGCAGGAAGCACAAGAATCTAGAGAGAGAAGCAGAGAACGCTACAGAAACCTAGAAAGCAGTAGAGACGGATTGAAATTTGGACACTGAAAAGAAGAGAATGCTAGAGAGAGTAAGAAGCAGAGGCTGGCTAGAGAAGATAACAAACGAGGACGACCACGAAGGTGACCAGAAAGAGCGGAGAACACAGGAAGCACAAGGGTCTAGAGAGAGAAAAGGAGATAATTCGAAGCAAACCACAAGAGAACAGGAAGCACAAGGGTCTAGAGAGAGAATAAGATGCTAGAGAGACAAGCACCCCTTGAAATTGGGCCACTGAAAAATAGAGAACGACAGAGAGAGAATAAGAAGCAAAATGCTAGAGAGAGAATAAGAAGCAAAGGATGACTTCGAAGATAACCAGAAAGAACCCAGAAACTGCGATGAGTTATATATACTTATTGCAGAAGAGAGAGAGAGGGCGCGTACTAAGCAAAGGTAGAGTACGAAGTGCTACGCGGGAATGGGAAGAGAGAGAGAGAGAGAGAGAGGCGTTAAGGTAGAGAGAGAAAGAAAGCATCACGCCGTGACGACAGAGAGCGGAAGGGAAAGTGTTGAGGGTGAGTATTTTATGTACGAGGAAGAGAGAGAAAGGTATGAGGTGGCAGAGAGAGAAAATGCCGTACGATGAAGAGAGAGAAAGTGTTCAGGGAGAGTATTATATAGGAAGAGAGAGAAAGTGTTATTACATAGGAAGAGAGAGAAAAGCAGGGAAGAGCGAGAAGAGATGGTTTGGTAGAGAGAGAAAGAATGTTGAGGTAGAGAGAGGAGGTAATATTGATTGGTACGAAGAAGAAAGTGAAGGAGTTCAGTGCGATAACGCGCGCGAAAAGGGCAAAGTCGTTACACCTCGCTATCAGAAGCCCCTTCGGCTAGCTTGGTCACTAATGAAATTTGGCCGTAAATATCCAATACAGCCTTGTTCCGCCTCAAGAGAGTTTAGAAACACATTTTGTAAGCCAAAGGTGATTTTATGGTCCCGCGGGAGTGTATTGTTTACCACGGGCAAAAGCTAATCTACCGTACTCTTTGGGATTGTCTTCCATAAGTAAAAGTATACAATGGGATTATTTATTTACTTTTGGTATAAAGTGGTCACAATTAATCTTGATTATAAGATGTGAAATTGGATGACTGCATTTATTCTATTGATCAAACTCAAAGTTTAAAATAATTTTTTTTTGAATTTTATTATACACCCAAACTGTCAGATTTCACATCGGACGACTGTCAATAATTGTGACCTTCTTGTAGCAAAGATAAATGGTCTAATTATATACAATCCTAGAAGATAAATAATTTAGGAGTACTTTTTGGGGATTGTCTACCGAGGGACTATTTATCTTCGGAGGTCACAAACATTCCCACCTATTATTTTTCCTTTTTTGGAACTTTGTGTCTATTTAATAACACTATTACAACCATCTATTTCGAAATTTAAGAGGCAAAAAATGATTTTGACTTCTGTACGAAAGATAAATGGTCTCTTTGTGGACAATCCCTACTTTTTGAACCCCAAATTTGGAGATGTGAACTCTTCAACCTAGCAGCTAACTTCATAATAAAACTTTAAAATGTATACGTCATACAAGATTAAATAGAAAGTGTCATTCTTAGGGGGGTGAGATCATGGTTAAACAACTCAAATTAAAATAATTAAAAAAAAAAGAAAAAAAGAATGTGGTATTGAGTAATTGAATCCCAATTTTTGAAGGGTGAGATCTAAATATTGGAGAACTCATTTTGTAGTTTTTTTTTGTAAATACTCATTTTTCCAAGATTTAACCATTACAGTTCAATTTTTGAAGGTGAGATCTAAGTATTGAAAAACTCGAATAAAAAACTTTAGAACAAATAAATATTCTCGTAATGCTTGGATTGATCTTATTTTTTTTAAAGTGAGATCCAAGTGTTGAAGAACTCAAAATGCAGTCATCTACTAAATGCTGAGGTGGGTCCCAAATTTCAATTTGAAAATAACATATCACATTATACATTTTTCTCAAAGTTTTTATATAAAAGTTTTAAAATATAAAGATGACTATTTTTTACTTTCTTACTTTGAAATTACTTGCTAGGTTGAAGAGTTTAAAAGAACAGTCCTTAAATAAAGTGAATGGAAGATAAACGTTAATGCCAAAAGATTTTCTGCTATCGTAGGAGTATATTATCGGTCTAGAACCCGGCAACTAATTTCAAACAAAAAAAATAACTCACTCTATGCGCCTAAAGAAAATAATCCCAAGATTGCACTAGAACCATCTAAATTTTGGATAGAAAAATCCAGATGTTCAATAACATAAAGTCTAAATCTTTTCTATGAAAATAATTATCCAATTATAATTTAGTGGATTTTGAAATTTCAATATCAAATAAACTAGAAAATCTTCCAGTTTTCCCAAGAGATTAAATGTATAATATGCTCCCAAGGAGCTATTATACACACCCTCTTGGAGCATCTAATGGTCTTTTGGAACCCTAGTAATCAGACATGGGTTTCAAAGCGGTTTAATTGGCCTAACCGGTAAATCAGTAGATTCAATCGTTTTAATCGAGCAAGTCTTAGATACTAAAAAAAGTGTTGGAAAAAATTACAAAAGTACAAAAAAAACTTGCTAAAATATGAAATTCATATAAAGAATAATTAAAACAAAATACATTCAAATGAAATTAAAAATTAATGAAAAAATAGATTTTAACTCATTTTATATTTTTTAATGGCTATTATTTAAAAAAAATTAAAATATAGGAAAATATAAAAGTAGGTGTTAATTACCCAAACAATTGTTAATTTTTACATAATGTAAAGAATATTTAAAAATACATTATAAATCAATTTCTTTATTTTTGAGAAATTATATACATTTTTCTGAATTTTGTTTTTAAAATTCCGGTTGATCACCTAACCGCTTAAAACCGAAACTGGCACTCATCGATTCCGATCTATCCGAGCGGTTAGCGATTAGATCGGGTGATTTTACGAACAATGAAGTAGAAAGAGAACCAAGATTTAGACCCAAAGCAATTTGTTTTTTAGGATAATTCTAAAAGGAAGATAGCCCCTATCCGTTTTTTCAATAGATTTGAGAGTTACATTTGAAGATATTAATTGGGGGTGGTAAAAACCATGAAGTGGCAATTGGGTGTAGGGATGCTACGATCCTTGCCCCTTTCTTACTCAAAGCAATTTGTTCTCAGTCGGATTCGCAAAATTAGCCCGCTCAAATTGGAACTACATGGTTGGATCGGGACATGGGCCGGTTCCAGTTCCAACCAGTTTTGGTAATCTTGTTGGGTATTTAGAAAAATAAAAAATATTAATATAAAATCCAAAAAGTGTAAAGGATTTGTTTATAATGTGTTATTTAATAATATAAATTATTTATTTTTATATTTTTTATTTTTTTAAAAAATATTTTTAAAATACTCTTAAACACAAATCGATTTTTAAATTTTTTTTTTCACTAATTTTTAACTTTTTTTGGATGTGCTTTGTTTAATCATATTTTAAATATATTTTTTATACTTTTTTTATATTTTTAATTTTTTTCACATTTTTTTTAACTTTTAGATTATGCCCGTCTAATTTGCCAATTTACCGGTTATTTGGTACACCGGCCCTTTTTTATGCCGATTCGATTTTTCAACCACTCCTTCTCAAAGTTAGAGAGAGAGAGTGGGGTTAGTGAGGTTAGAGAGAGAAACAAGGGCTGGCCCAAAACAGTTTGTTTTCAGTTAGAGAGAGAATAAGCGAGGACCGAGAGGACCTTGGAAAGTGCGTGAGGACGACGTGGGAGAGAGAGAAACATGAGGGTATGTTTTTTGGGATGAGAGAGAAATAAAATATACGCATTTTCGGTAACAAAATATAGAGAGGGAAACCAACAAAATTACGTAATTCTTTTATTAAGCATTGGAATTCGAAGCGTAAGAGGGGGTAGAATGTCTGGAATTTCTGGTGTCTTTCAAGAAAAGCGTAAAACATACTCCCACGGGTGCAAATTGTACATTAACTCCCTCTGGAACAGGACTGAACCTGATCATTTTGATTGAAATTATGCTGTTCAAATACCTTGATAATTATTTATAGAAATAAATTTGATTTTAAGTTCTTGAGCACTTGAATATTACATTTCAAAAATGATAGTGTGGTCCCTCTTCTTGAGAGATTGGACTGTGGTCCCTCTTTACTTTCGTTTTTAAAGTATGCTCTTGAACAAGAATCAAATATTTTCAAAAGAGGCGTCTTGTTTTTTTTCTGGACTTTATTCTTTGCTTTGTGACGAAAGACTGCTTCGTCAGGAAGTATAGGAAAGGGCATAACTTTTTTTCTCTCTGATATTGCCTTTACTCGTACGTGATTACTTTTTCTTTTGTCTATTCTTGCCTTTGCTGGTTTGTGATTCGTTATTCCGAAAATTGCAAGAAAACCTCATTGACTCGACTTGTTTGTTTCAGAACTACTAACTTCTGTAGAGTAGTCTCACAAGTCAAAAAGTTAAAAGTGTGGAGGACGAAAATACCCTTGCTTGAGCATAAACGCAACGCGCCACATTGACTCAATCTCCAAACTGTAGAGTAGTTTCACAAGTCAAAAAGTTAAAAGTGTGGAGGACGAAAATACCCTTGCTTGAGCATAAACGCAACGCGCCACATTGACTCAATCTCCAAACTGTAGAGTAGTTTCACAAGTCAAAAAGTTAAAAGTGTGGAGGACGAAAATACCCTTGCTTGAGCATAAACACGCCAAATTGACTCATTTGCCAAAGACGGTCCGACGCATATTATCGTAAGACTAAAATCCATATCACATTAACTGCTGTACCGTACCGAATTTATGTCAAATCGAGGCATCATACCCCCTGATCAACAAAAGGTATTGCCAAACCGTTTTAAAATTTGCATAATCATAAGTCACGCCAAAAACAATGTCGGACTGTATAAACATGTTACAATTGTCGACATTCAACAATCAAAGGAAGGGTAATTTGGTACCAAAAATTATAATTTTTTAACTCAATAATATTTATTATAAAAATTACTTTTAATTTCGAGAAAAAAATTGATCAATGAGAGGTTGTCTAGAAAGTCCAATTTGGAGGGTATCTGTAATTTTTCTTTAGTTATTTCTTTCAAAAAAGATACAAGGGTGAGGCCCTAAACAATCAAATTAAGGTGCACTTTAAAAAAATTTCGATTCTAAAAAACCCTCAATTTAATCATATCGACCTCAAGATGTATGGACACCAAAAAATATATATTTCAAGTCTTGGAAAAATCCCATTTGTAACATATTATCTAGACTGTCAATTTTTTAAGTTTTTCAAGCGTTCATAGATGCTCTTGATTTGCACTATTTTTGCATCTTTAAATTTAATAATTATAGATGAAAATAAAATTGCAGACCATCATAAAAATTTCAGATACTGAAACAATATATTTCGGTACCATTTGGAGGTGCGCCTTACTTTGCTTGTTTACGGCCTCGGCCTTATACAAACCACATCCTCTTTCTTTTGGATGAACTTTTTATAATTTGTTTCTCTATCTTTCCCCATTGAGATGAATATTGGCGCATTTCCAAAAGGCGTGACTTTGTATAAGGTGCCCACCTTTAGAAGTTAGGCACACTTCTAAAATTTGTCTTCAGATGTAGTTTCAGTGGTGGATATCTCATAATGATTTGAAAATCTATTTTTATTTTTGTAAATTAAAATTCTAAAAACAGTAGAGATCAAATAAACTTGTCAGCTTCTAAAAAACTTGAGAATAGATGATCTTGATAATTTGTCATTAGATATTATTTTTAAGTTTTGAAATTCTTTTTTTCTTCGTATCTATACATCTTTAGGTTGAGATGATCAACTGGAGGGTTTTCCAACGTCAGAACGTTCTCTTTTAGAGGATTGTTGATACCTTATATAAACTTTTTCCTTTCCGAAGTGGGTAATATGAGGAAAGGATACATTCTTGACTTAGTCAGCCCAAGTCCCTCTATGACCGACCCTAGCCCAGCCTGGCACGGATCAGGGCCAAGGGTCCCTAGGCAACTAGCCAAGGCTCGGGCAAGTTCGACCTGCCCTAATGACTCAAAGAAAAAATAAAGGAAAAGAAAAAAAACATAAGGCCGGGGTGAGCTTTCCTTGTCATAACCTTAGCTTAAGCCCGGTCCTCCAGTTGTGGTGGCCCACTGGATCAGTTATAGCCCAACTTTCGGGCCACATTTTGTGACCCGACCCCTAGTCTTTAAGATTGGGCCAGGCTGCCCATGCTAATATGCTCCTAACTATTTGCACCCACCTGCATGGGCAAAAGGAGGACCAGAGCTGGTTATAGTTGCTCTTATTAGAGGTGAAAAGTAATAATAGTTTTTTTCTTATTTAAATAAGATATGAGATTGTATATAATGAGACCATTTATCTTTGGTACAAAAAGGTCACAATTATATGTAACCATCCTATGTGAAATCTAATCTCTTGGGGGTGTCACTGAGTTTGGAAAATTTTCTTTTGACTTTAAGCTTGATCAGTGGAATAAATGCGACCACCCCATTTCATATCTAATGGTCAAGATTAATTGTGCACCTTGTACCAAAAGTAAATTGTCTCATTGTATGCTTTTCCATATAATATATGTGGACAAAGATGTAGGTAAAGAAAAGGAAAGTATTTGGTGTGACCGGGGCTCATGTGCCCACCCAAGAAAATCCATTTTGGAGATGCATTGAAGAACCAAAACTCCGCAACTTCATTTCTTCACATTCATGTTTTTGGGTAGGAAGAATTAAAAAGAGGGTTTTAAGCCATAAAAATTGTTCATCTTGCATTTTTTTTAATTGTTTTCCCATTTGAGAATAGCAACATCAATCAGCATTTTAAGAGTTCCACATCCACTATTTAGCAGTGGATATGTACTTACAATGTTGTGAAATGATTCTTGGATCTTCAAACCATGGAAAACACATGCCACTTGCTTCAAGGCCACGGTACTCGCCCATTTCGGCCTGGATCGGGAGTCATACGGTCCTGGGCTGGAAAAACCCCCGAACCACATCAGTCCACCTATTTTTTTACTGTTTAATTTTTCTTGTTACAAATTGCCTGGTCAGACTAGGACTAACCCACATCTGATGGAGGGCTTGAGCTCGGTTCTAGGCAATTCCGAACCCAAACCCAACTTTTTTAAACACTGCTCTCAAATAGTTTTGATATCTGGCATGTACCATCCTCTCAAACTCATAAGAATACTTCAAACAAGAACATGCTACTGAAAACTCAAGACATCATTATACTCAAGAGTCAAGACCAAAGAGCTAGTTCCATTATCTAGATTTCCTAAAAAGCATATCGAAGGTTGAGAACGATGTGTGTTTTGTCATGTGAGAGAGAGAGAAGAAACACACCCAAACCTTCTTCTCTAATCTGCATATCCATTTGGTTATTTATGATGTCTACCAATAAGTTCCTCATTTCTTACCCAAAAAAAGAAGTTCCTCATTTCTTGACACCAAAAACCTCAGGCTTTATCACCTTTGTTAAATCCTTTATTAGAAAACCTTTTCAACCAAAGCTTTCCTCTTGAATTGAGATTCCAATATTGAACAGATGATGCAGTTGTAGCCTTTGGATTTGCCATGTCCATGGGGAGTTCAGCAGGAAGTGCAGCAGCTGTGCTAGTGAAGATATTGAGGACCATGAATGCCAATATTGGTGAGAGATCCAAACCCCCAAGAGGTGGAATTAGACCTCTAAATATGTTGAGATATGGATCACATAAAGTACTGCACAAAAAATTCCCACCACATTCAGTTTGAGCACTTTTGATATGTTATTATGAGAGAGAGAGAGAGAGAGTACATGCTTCCTCGTGGGAGCAAAATGCACATGTGTTCCGTGGGGAAAAAACACACGGCATTAAAAAAAAACCAAAAAAAAAAAAACCCTAGGAGTATAGAAAAACTGTCCAAATTTTGTGTAGAGGATATAAGAACCCTCTTAGATGCATAAACAAAAGTCTTGAACATTGGATCTCACCAGGATCATGTACTTAATTGACTAGAAACAAAATATGTGAGAATAGGATCATAATACGAGAAATAAAGTAAAAAATACACACACCACAAAAATGCAATGATTTATGTAGGCACCTTACATTAAGATGCATGGCAAAATTAAATCCACTATACCAACGATAGTAACAGTATGAATTTTGGGGTACAAAATTGCCTCTCTATCCCCCAACAAAATCCAATCAAGCAAATTTTTAAAGCCAACTCTCCCTACAAACATCACTGTTGATCTCTTACCTCTATTCCATAATTAAACTACTGTCGAGGAATAAAACCTTGAGAGCAACCAAAACTTTTTCCTACTAAAAGGAAATATCACTCAAAATCTCAATGGGAACTATTTTTTTGTCAGAAACCAGCCTATTACTTTACAAGAGGGACCGGTGAGAAAGTTTCTCTCTCTAGGAAACTCACTTCTCTTGATGTGGAGGTCTTTCCTCTCTGAGCAGAAGACCATGTCCATCTCTCTCTAAAGGAAACCACATTTTCCAATGGTGACCAAGTTAGGGCAAACAAGTTCTTTCTCTCTCATTCAATATACATAATTATTCACAAACACGTCGATACCAAGTTGTCTCAATTCCGAAGGTCATGTATTATGAAACTTTTTTGCAACGCACTAATCGACCAATTTTTTGTACTAATCGTCACAAATTGGTTGATTAGTACACTAATCATCGATTTCTTGTAAAGATCGTTGAATTTATGCACAATTTTTTTAACACTGGCCTCTATTATTGTAAAGATCAATTTGAACTTCAATATTGCCCTTTCCTCTTCGCAATGTTGAGAAGAGACTTTGAGGAAAATCTTCATCATTGAAATACAGATTTTTGCGCTTTTGACTAAAAGCAACAACAGGTCAGGGCAAAAAGCAACAACATATCAGGACAAAGCGCATCTACAACAGGTCTTTCTCATCCCCTCTCTCTCTCTGTTGGGTTCTCTTTCTCTCTCGTTATGGGGTTCTTTCTCTCACTCTCTTTTTCTCTCTCCCCCTCTCTCTCTCTCTATTTGTTGCGTTGGAGCAAGTCCCTACCCAAAGCTCTCTCTCACCATGTCTCTCTATCTGTTGGGTTGGTGCAGGTCCCTGCCCAAAGCTCTCTCTCCCCCTCTCTCCTTGTTGGTGTAGGTCTCTGCCCCAATGTCTCTCCTACGCTCTCTCTAAATGTTGGTGCAGGTCCCTGCGCAAAGCTCTCTCTCACCCTCTCTCCTTGTTGGTGTAGGTCTCTACCCCAATGTCTCTCTTACTCTCTCTAAATGTTGGCGCAGGTATGCCCTACGTCTCTCTCACTCTCAAACTGTTGGGGCAGAGGATTGCGTCAACGTCTTTCTCACCTCTCTCTCTCTAATTGTTGGGACAAGGGCCTGCCCAACCTCTCTCTCACTCTCTATAATTGTTGGGGCATGGGCTTACCCCAACTTCTCTCTCACTCTCTCTCTCTTGGGCCAAGCCTGCTCCAACGTTTCTCTCAATCTCTCTTGAACTGTTGGGGCTTGCCCCAACGTCTCTCTCACTTGAACTGTTGGGGCAAGGGATTGCCTCAACCTCCAGTGAGAGGCTCTCTCTCTCACCTCTCTATCTCTCACTCTCTCTTTTAAATATTGGGCAATCCCCTGCCCCATCAGTTTGAGAGAGAGAGAAAGAGACGTTGGGGCAAGCCTACCCCAACATAGAGAAACCAACAAAGAGAAAGAGAGAGATGGGGCAAGACCTGTTCCAATAGAGAGAGAGAGAGAGAGGTTGGGGAAGGTACTCGCCCCAACCCAAGAGAGAGAGAGAAAGAAAAAGAACCCAACAAAGATTGAAAGAGAGAAAGGTGAGATAGACCTCTTGCAGATACTCATTGCCCTACCTGTTGTTGCTCTTTGCTTTGACATGTTGTAACTCTTTGTCCTAACCTATAGATCCCCAAAAGCAAAAAAATCTCCATTTCAATGATGGAGATTCTCCTCAACATTGGGAAAAGAAAATGGGCAATAATGGAACTCAAAACGATATTTACAATAATAGAGCTCCGTGTTCAAAACTATACACTGTAACAGTGCATAAATCAGACGACCTTTACAAGATTTCACCAATTGGTGCACCAATTAGTCGATTTATGCTTATTAGTACAAAAAATCGGCTGATTAGTGCATTGCAAAAAAATTTCAAAATACATGACTTTCGAAATCGAAACAACTCGAGATTGATCACTGAACAATTTTGATTTAATAGGCCGATTTTTAAAAATCAGCCACTCTTTAATCAACGAGTAATTCCTTTGGTCTCCATATCTTTTATCACTACTTTCATCCATATCCTTTTGAGCATTTCCCATTGTCTTTCTTGAGCCATCTACTTAAACTAAATCAAGCCTTTTAGTTGGTGTTGTATCGACCCATTTCCCAAAAAAAATAGTTCCTACTAATGGCGGGCTTTGACTTGGGGTGAGCTACTCTGTCACTCTTAACATCTTACGTGAGAAAACACATCACCAAGAACCCAACAGAAAAGAGCGTATTTGTGGGTCTTGTTTTGGTAATTGATGGCTGATTTGGGCTTAACTCATTCGGGATAAACTCTCTCTCAAAGAGCAACTTTGCTGATACCCACAGTGAGAGAGATTCTCAGCCGTGCGAACAATTTTGAAAATGAAAAATCAAGTATGCTCATGAAAACAGAAGAATGATTGTAGACTTTTATTCTAACCCTCTAAATTTCCAGGGAAAAATAACAATATACTCCCTAAAAAATAATTAAGAAAAATGGTTTGATACGGTTGCAGCCCTATCAAAATAAGTAAAGCCTCACTTTATATAACTCATCAAAAATTGCAATTCAAGCATTAAAAAACCTCTGTACATTGATCATCCGGGCTTGAATATTATGGTTGTGATAAAAAGTAGGATTTCAAGCTCTAAAAATATGTCGGTATTAAAAATTGATTTTAGAGCCATCATGGAGATATCACGTGCCAAAAGTGTTTTTTGGACAAGGATTTGAGGTGAGGCTTTATTTTATTTTCATAAAGCCTAAACCTTATATAAACCTCAACCAATAATTAATGATGCCAACAAGCAGAACCAGCCCTAGATTGGCTCTTGTCCCCAAAAAGCTGACCAATGCCCGACCTTATCCCTGTTAAGGAAGGGCCAAGCCCGGCCAATAACAAATGAAAAGGAAAACAAAAAAAAAAGACCTGACCGAAGTGGGCTAGCATTGGCCCTAGCCCTAGCCCTAGCCCCGCTCTCGGGCCATAGTTTGTGGCCCAAGCTAGTCGGACCCTAAATAACCCAACAAAAGAAAGGCTAATTACCACCCAAAATATTTGACGTAAGTCACTCAAACTAAAAAAATGAAGTGTCTCGCTCCTTTCAGGAAAACATATAAATCCCAAGGAAAAAGTGCTTCATAAAAACGACTAATATTTCAGTTCAATTTTTGCCAAATACATGAACAAAAGGAAAATATTAGAAACAAAAAGGTTCAAAATATTCACTACATGATTGACTCCCATGATGCAAAAATGGGTTTTGAGAAAATGGCCCATTGACTCTGATACAGAGTATAGCATGATACGCGGTTAGAACTGTGGTCTTTTCCAATTGTTGGAGAGAAGAAGAAAAAAGTGGGTTTTTAAGAGACAGAGGATGAGAGAGAAAGTAGAGAGGTTAGAGAGAGAAAATGTGAAGGATGAAATAGAAAGGGATACAAGGGTAAGACAATATTTTCCTTTAAATGATAATCAAAACAACGATATAAAGTGGGAAGAAGCATATATTCTATGATGATCATAATTCATAATCAAACTATTTTGAAGGAATGTACAAGTTATTCATGAAGTGAATCGTTAATGGCACGATAATAATAAAGATAAATAAAAAAGTATTATCATATCTTATTATCATCTTTACAATGTTATGATAAAAAGAAAATCCGGGCCTCAAAACCCCACTAGAAAATGTAGTTCAGGTGCCTGTAAACTTTGTAATACCTTAAAAATTTAGTCTCTTTTGATTATAAAATTTAAATGAAGCTCAAAAAATGGCAAAATTGGTATATTTGTCGGTAAAATGGATTGCACAAGTAATATGTTACAAGATACACTATGTTCCAGATTTCCTTCGTATCTATAATGTTCAAGGATGAGATGATGAACTTTAGGGTTTTTCGGCACCAAAATCGTAATTCCCATAGAGATTTGAGTTGGTGCTTTAACAAGATGCAATCCCATTTGGCCTTTCTTTTCATTCATCTATCTCAATCCTATTTTATTATCATCATCACAGTCTTTTTCTAATTAACCGTGGTCGGCTATACGAATTTTGATCCACTACTAAGGCATACTCTCATTGAGGCCATAAGTCTTTATATATTTTCTCACCACATGCTTTTGGACTTATTCTTTACTTTGTTTTTAGCCTTTCACTTAAATTAACTCGCACCTCCTAACATGTGTTGTATTGAGTCTGCACTGCATATGACCAGGCCACTTAAGCCTGCTTTCTCATATTATCGTCTATTGGTGCCATGCCTAAATTTTCCCAATCCATCTCAACATTATCATTTCCGCTACACTCATTCTATACCAATCCTATTTATTTTATTTTTTTGAACTCATGCTAAAATATTATTCTTTTCCTTTTTAACGGTTGAGACTTGAGATAGTTATAGTCTATTATTTCCATTTTTTAAACTAAATTGTTGTTTTTCATTTTCTTAATTATTTTCTTACAAAATATTTGAATGCTGCCTCAGTAAACTTACCTCAAAGGATTTACAATGGCTGGAGGGGAATTGGGGAACCATGTTAGAACGAGTCGAACAACCAATACGGTACTGTAGATGTTCAAGAAATTTGAAATCCCATTTGCCACAACGATTCCAGCCACCGAGTCACCAGGTAATATTGCAGCAAAGTTGTTGTTGGATATGGAGTCGAGTTTCTTGGGGCTTTGCAAATGAATCTAGATAGAAAAACACAAAAAAAACAAACATTATGTGCTCTCTCTCTCAAGTTTCTTTGTTTCTTGAATATTACATAAACATCAATGTAGGGGTGGCAACGGGTCGGGTTGGGCCCTAGCCTGGCTGACCCGGACCCGGATAGTGTTCGGGTCCAAGATTTGGACTCAAACCCGACCCGTCAGGTACAATTTTTGGGCACATACCCGGATCTTGATTGAGTCTACCCCTCAGTTCCCGAGTCAAGCCCAGGTCCATTGCCACCCCTACATCATTGACTTTCCATACTCAAATTTGTTTTTCTTCTTAAACATTAATTATTTAAAAAAAAATAATACAATAAGACCATTTGACTTGACACAACGAGGTCACGATCATTCTTGAGTTTGATGTGAAATCGGCTTGCCAGGGATATGTCATTGACTAGCTCAAATAAAATTTCAAACTTTGTGACACACTCCAAGGTTCAATTTTGTATGGAGCGGCAAGAGGTAATCATGGTCTCCTAAAACCAAAAGTAAATAGTCTTGCAATATACAATTCCTATAAGAAAAACTATATAATTTGTTCATTTGCCTTTGGTAGGTGATAGTCACCTTTGACGGTTAGGATGTAAAATCAAGTGGCTAATGGTGTGTCGGTGATTGGGCTCAAAGTCCGAATGAAAATTTTTTAAATTTTTAATCAACTCCAATTTGTTCGGTTTTACATTGGATAATATGGGATTGTCACCTCTTTGTACAAAAAATAAATGGTCTTATAATATACAATCCCCTTACATGGGGAGCCCGCAATATGGATGTTAAAAAAGAGCTATCAATCTTACGATGCTACAATAAAACACTTCAACATAAGTATCATCAGTACAAAACACATCTTTGTTGTGGGTCTCCTGCCATTATTTGAAGATCAAGCAGCTATTATGCTTTTAATACACATTTAAATATTTTCGTACATAATTTGTACTTCCAGTAGTGCGATCTTGACCAGATAGATGTGAGTGAACTCATTATATATATAACATAGAAAATTGTTTCTTGCAGGCTGGACCACACCACACGACTACATATGCAATCCAAAAAATGTAAAGCATCCATCTTAAAGATGTATGTGTGTTCCATTTAAAAACAATAGAAATTAATGGTCCAAATGTTTTTTTACTAGAATTATTATTTTTATTTTTAAAAAATTATTTATTTTTTCATATTCATAATTTCTATGTTAGAGATTACATGTCCATAAAAATAAAATCTAAAAATCCATCTCAAAAATAGATTTATTAATATGCCCGTATTTCTATATATACGGCTTTGGCCGCATAGAAACCCGGTCCATATAATATTATGTATTTATTATGGCTTAAAACACATAGCTAGCGTTAGAATGCAACATTATTCCGAACTGACTCCTAGCCATGAATTAAGATCGAACAAATATAAATTTTTCAATAATATTAATTATATGCGTGTAGAGACACATTGCGATTCCAAAACACATACTTGTATGCGGAGACGTATAAAAGCTTCCCCTCCGCTATAAATCCAAAAATTACAAATTGCATGTAAAAAATTACTATTGGAGATTTCTATTTATTTCTTTTAAAAAAAGCTTCACTTATCTATGTTTTCACTACACATTTTAGAAAGGAAAAAGTGTGCGATACACTGGGGTTGTCACACACAAAAGGGGCATCCACCATTCATTCCTCACAATAAACGGTTGATATCTACCACTCCCGCCATCTATCTGCAGAATGCGGTCAGTCATCACCGTCCATCAGCAGGAACGGATGGCAGATGACACTGAGGCACCACAAGAACACACAGTACACCACTGGTGTATGATGTTTATGATACAGTTCATTTGGGAAATGGATTTACGAACTCTGTACCTTAGAGAAGCTTTGGAGATCAGCTGAAATGGCCGCGAATCTCTGAATCAACGGGTTTTGAGACGCTAAGGCATTTAGCCACTGATCGGCCGCCACCGCCGCTGATTCTTGGAGCTTTTTGAGCTTTTGCAGAGTGGATTCATGGCAGCTGGTTTTGGAGGTTTGAGGGAGGAGAGGGAAGTGGTTGATTGCTGATGCTATGAGGCAAGTGATGGTTCTGGGGGCTGATTCTTGCTCTCGAGGTTCTTTTGAGTCCATTCTCTCTCTCCCTGTGTCCTTCTCTCTCTAAACTCGTGCAGGCTGAGCTCCGGTTTTGGACGGCTCGATGTGTAACATAGAGAGAGACCTGCTGAGGTTTTTTGGTGAGACCAGTAAAACGAGTGGATAAGGCTAAAACAGAGAGAGAGAGAGAGAGAGAGAGAGAGAGAGAGAGAGAGAGGTGTTAAAGAATGAGTAGTTCATTAAATTTATAAGAAACTGTGGAGGAGGGGAGGGAGGGGGCAGATGGTAAGTAATTTATAGAAGCCTATCATAGAAGCTTATTGATTTCTTTTCTGAAATTTAGGTTAAATTTTTTTTTTTTTTGCAATATAAAAAAAAAAAAGTTTACATAGCCTCTAAACAATCAAATTAGAGCACACATCAAATTTTTTATTATAAAAAAATTATATAGCCTCTAAACAATCAAATTAAGACGCACCTCAAAATTTTTATTACAAAATATTGTTTTGATGCTCAAATATCTTCAAATTGATCGTTACAAAATCAAGATTCATTGCCATGAGAAAATAATGGATTCTAAGTTTTAAAAATAGTGTATTTTGTATGGTGTTTTTTTACCCTTTTCAAGTAGGCCTTCTCGATCTACATTATTTTTGAAGCTTTGAATTTTATAATTAAAGATGAAAATATGTTTTAAAACTGTCTCAAAGTTTTTCAATATTAAAACCATATTTTTCAATATTATTTGAAAGTGAGCTTTACTTGTTTGGAACCTCAGCTCTATTCAAACGGCACCCAATGAGAAATTGCTATCCATGAGTTTTAGGGAAAAGTATCCTGTCCATATCACGTGGATGGGTGGAAAGATGCACAAGCATCTTTTCAATGGTTGAGATCTTATGTGACCATATCCAACCGTTAAAATTATATTTGTATTTTAATTTTAATTTTTTATTTAAATAATACATTGATCTGAATTTTGAAATGTACGTGTATTTTTATAATGTAATTAAATAAAAATATTAAATAATTTTTTAAATAAAAAATGACAAAAATACATCTAAATTTATTTTGATCATTCTTTTTATACAAAATAAGTTTTTTTATTATTTTTATTCAAACTTAATTATAAAAGTGGACCTAAAAGTAAAAGTTTAGATTAATATAATTTTAAAATAATAACTTAAAAAAAAAAAACAAGATTTGCTATTGGCCCTTGGATGAGCATGATTCAATCTGTGCATGTTCACTTTTTGAGCATCCACAACAATACCAACCCATGTTTTAGATTTTATACTTCAATGTTTTTTCATTTCTGGGGGGGATCCAATCCAATTTTTTGGAAATTTATTGGTTCGGAACTTTCCACTCGATATTGGCATGGTATAATGGTGGAACCGCGTTAATGTAGTTGACCAAATAGTTAGAATAAAGCTCAAATGATGATGACAATGACGGCTTTATCTCTAATTTTTTAACTGCTTATTCACTTGAAAAAATTATACAAGTTTTCTTGAGTTCTAACCAAGGATAATTCTATATTTATGGATAAGGGATTAGTTTAGAACTTCAGACTTCGAACCACTTATTCACCTAAAACCTAAACAAAAGTCATAGGTTAAGAGCCATAAATTCTCAAGTGGGGTCTATTGTCTGCTTAAACTTTTATGTATATGATTGGGCAATTCAGAATTTCAATTTCTGAATTGTTTAATACCTTAATTTGTATAAGTGTTAAAAACTTAAAGTTTTCAACATATATACCCGGTAAGATAAGGGCTAAAGCATGAAATTTATAATTCCAAATTTGTGAGTATTTTGAAAAATAAATAAAATATAAAATATAAAGAGAAAAGTTTATATAGAGCCTAGGCTCTAAACAATCAAATTAGAGACTGCCTCAAAACTTTCACACGAAGAGGTTGCTTTGATGCCTAAATATCATCAAATTGATCATCTCAACATCAAGATGCATGGACATGAAAAAAAATATAGATTTCAAAATTTGAAAATAATGTATCTTGTAACTCGTTTTTAGACCATCAATTTTAAGATTCTTAAGTTTTCATATATCTCCTCAATATACTATCTTTTAAGCTTCAAATTTTATAACTAAAGATAAAAATATATTTTAAAGCTATCACAAAACTTTCCACTATTAAAACCATATTTCTCGACACTATTTGAAGGCAGGCTCTAATTTGATTGTTTAGAGCCTCGGCTCTATACAAACCTCACCCAAATACAAAATACTAGCATAAGGTTTATTGTCTTTTTCCTCTTGAAAAAATTTGGAGATAATATGTGAAACGGAGACTCGTCTAGGGAAACCATATCCACATTTTCATCTTGAAACATATGTAAATGCCCGGTCATAGGGTAATATTACGAGATTGCCTCTCCTTACAAATCAAAATACCGAAATCTGTACCTGTTATTACGAGACTGCCATTGCTTCTTACAAGGAAAATATACTGGGTGTGGTCCAGTGAGTTAAAACTCGACAAACCAAAACGTCAATAATGAATCAATTTATTTAAAAAAGTTGGATGAAAAATCAGGTAAAAAATACAAATTGTAAGACAAGTTCAAGATACGAAGTCAGATCCCCGCATTGTCCCTGCCTCTAATTTTCAAGATACAAAGTCGCCTACGACTTTAAATATTGAATATCTAAACTCATGTCCTATATAAATGACTTTGTATCTTGAAGATCCGAGTAAAAAGATATTTAGACGAAAAGAGGTACATGAGCATCTAACTTTAGATTATTTCAACAAAATAACTTAGCCGAGATCCCGCAAAGTGGTGACATCTTGGAATAAAAAAAAAAAAGAAAAAAAAAAAAGAAGGTATGCACATAAATTATAAAAGTTGGGAAAATTTTCAAATAATGGCAATCGTAAGGTATATACACGTAAATTTCTCTATTATATTATTAAAATTTAAAATAAAAATCAATTTTCTTTTTATGTGCACCCTAACTAACTTGTTGGGCCAAGTCTACATCACTTGGGAACCCAATCGGGTTGGGGTCCGGACCTAACCCATGAACACATGTGCTCCCAAGATTGGGGTGGCAAACTGGCAATGGATTCGGACCCCACTTAGGACCCAAGGTTAGACCTGATCCAGATCCAAATTTTGGACCCAAACGTTATTTGGATCTAAGTTTGGGTTTGGTACTATTTTTAAATCCCAATATATTTAAATACATAGATATTTTAATTTTTGGATCAGGACCAGGTTTGGATCCCGCACTATATTTCAGATCGGAATCCGGGTCCAAATTCGATGAATTATAATCCAATCGAGTCCATTCTGAATGGAGGGTTAAGCTTGTCCCAATCACAATGTCGCATCTCTACCTTATTTTATGTTATTTTTTTTCTATAAACTATTTTGACACCAAATTTTGCACGTCCATTCTTCTATTAAACTCGTATTAGCTAAAAATATAAAAACAATATTTCCAATAAAATAAAATAATCAAAATACCTTTAAAAGTTTTAAAAGGTATTTTGGTCATTATATTTTATTGAAAAAATAATTTTAATATTTTTTATAGGTGTGCCCCAATGAAAAGATGGCACGTACCAAATTTCATATTCATAAAATTTGTATAAAAAAATAAAAATAAAATACTTTGAGATGTCAGATCTAAGATCAAACGGTAAATAGCTCTCTTGATCAAAATTGAGCGGCTGAATGGTAAAGTAAGTAAATATCTTCTAAGATCTTCTAAGCCGTAAAAGAAGTATAGAAACCTAACCGGCTAAGGAGCACACAGTCCTTTGGGAATTCTATTCTCCGCACAAACCCTTCAGCATTTTAAAGTTTTAGCACCATTATCGTAATTTCCAATGACACAGGGGCAAATTTGTAACTTTACCGTACACCAATCCTCGACCTTAAATTTTCATTCATCTAAAAATAAAATAAAAATTTCACTAGTACTTAATGACCATTTTAATCTCCCTTTTTAAACATTTTATGGATATTATTCAAATGCCATTTTCTCAGTTTCAGTGAAAACTGAGCTCCCGCCATGGCTGCACCGCTCCTTGTCTGTAACCACTTGTTCCCCCCCCTCGGAAAACCCCTAATTTCTCACAATACCGGAATTCATTCTCCTCATCTCTTCTCTTTCCCTTTCCTCTTCCATAAGAGTTTTCACCTGAAAATCCCCAAATTTCACAGGAAAGCCCTGAGAACTTATCCTGTAAATGCTCTGGAGACCAAAACCCTAGAATTGAAGCCTCAGCTCCAAAATCTGCAGAGCCCTCTTCTCCTTGAAGTTCAGGGCATGATGTGTGGTGCCTGTGTGTCGAGGGTCAAAACAATTTTGCTTTCCGACGAGAGGGTGGAATCGGTTGCAGTGAATTTGGTAACAGAGACAGTGGCCGTGAGGTTAAGGAGAGGAGAGAGAAGAGAAACCCCAGAGTTGGGGGAAACCCTGGAAATGTTGGCAGAGGAACTGGGTTTGAGGTTAAGTGAGTGTGGGTTTCCTTCTAAAAGGAGGGATTTGAATTTGGGGTTAGGGCAAAACGTGAGGAAATGGAGAGATGTGGTGGAGAAGAAGGAGGCTTCTCTTGTTAAGAGTAGGGTAAAGGTGGCTTTTGCTTGGGCTTTGGTGGCGCTTTGCTGTGGAACACATGGAGCTCATTCGTTGCACTCAGTTGGGATCCACATTGCTCATGGTACACAGAGAGAGGCTTGATAATTCACATCGAGTCCAATGCAGGACCGGCCGACTTTGATCTGCTAAATTAGATTTTAAGAATTTTTGGAAATCTTCTTTATAACTTGCCATAATTTGCCTTAGATTCAGAATTTAAGCAAATTTCAGACAAATATCAAGCAAAATTTGGCCACAATTTGATGAGAAGTTAGTTTGAGGTTAATTGAAAGAAATAAAAGAAGCCCAAAATAAGGAGCAGAAATTGAATGGTTATTGATTTCACTTTCTCATATCCCCATTTCGGCTTAAGCCTCTTGTAAAATCTATATTTGGCTGAATTCTCTGAAATAATGGCTATTTTTGGAGAAATAATAGTTTTTTTTTTTTTATCATATGTAATTTATTTTTAGCTTATTTTAATGCGCTTCATTTTGGGAAGACTATCTTACTGTGTAGCATTTTAATTGCACTGTGATATAGGGTGGTTTTGGGAACTTTTAGAGAATTCATTTGTCAAATGTGGGATGGCATCGATCGCTCTATTTGGCCCTGGTAGAGGTAATTAAGACTTAGCTCTATGACATATCATTTTGTTCTTAGTTTTTCCCTTTTATGATTTTTTTCGCTGACCACTGAATTCATCTTTGGTACTAAAATAGTTAAGGGGTTCTCAGTTATTCAGCACTTCAAAATGAATTTTAGTGCTATTTTGATGTTTTTATTTTTAGTTTTCTATCCTTTGGACTCTTATACATGTTGAATCTTCTGTCTTTTTATTGCAGAATTGCTTTTAGATGGCCTTGGAGCATTTGCAAAGCGATCCCCTAATATGAATTCTCTCGTGGGATTCGGATCCCTTGCTGCATTCATTATAAGTGCAGTGAGTGAATTTTGACAGTTAAATGATGACTTCATGAGTATTAATATTCCATATGATTTGTTACTTCGTCACACAGATTTGATGATACTTATGTTATTTGCCTTAGGTGTCTCTGTTGAACCCTGGGCTTCAATGGGACGCATCGTTCTTTGATGAACCGGTGATTTACCAAGTCTCACTCTAGCTGCTTTTTACGGGTCTAATCATGACCCTTGGTAGATTACCTCCAATAATTTTTTGGCATTATAGAAGTGTCTTAGCACTAAAGGGCATGGATCGTTGCAATAGAGATATCTTGCTGAAACTCATGTGTTCGAATTAATCGAAGTCTTAGTCTTAAATTTGGTGTCTTAATGTTTTCTACCACATCTAAAGTTTCTACCAATACTAAAATTAACAGTAGTGTTTCTTACCCGATTTCTTATTTTTGTAGTATCCAGGTCATGCTTCTTGGATTTGTACTTCTTGGACGATCTTTAGAAGAAAAAGCAAGGCTTGAAGCTTCTAGTGATATGAATGAACTTTTGGTATGCTTTGCTATTCCTAAGAAGTGACATTTCTTATTCACCCCAATGTCATTTGTCAACTTCTTTGGAATACAGACTCATTTCTTGCTCGGTTTTGCAATCTTCTGTGCGATATGTGTCTCCATTTCAATGATTTTGCTAGCTATTTATGTGAAAGTTTTATGAACCTGAATTTATTCTAGCAGTTCGCAAAATGAAGTTAATTGAATTGAATAGTTGATTTTTAGTAGCAGGGAGCTAACTCCATGGAATTTTATGCAGTCTCTGGTATCTTCTCAATCGCGTCTAGTGGTTTCTTCTTCAGAAGGGGATCTTTCTGCTGATAAGGTGCTTAGTGCTGATTCTATCTGCCTTGAAGTCCCGACAGATGATATTCGAGTCGGGGATTCGGTTTTGGTGTTGCCTGGAGAGACTATCCCAATAGATGTGAGTTATTTCAACATAGAGTGTCTTTTCCTGTAGTTTTTATTACTGCACTTTCTAAAAGTCATAGTATATTTTTCCTTTTCAGTTCCATACTATTAGAATGAGAATGTTCTAGTGTGCAGGGTATGAAATACAGACATGTGAAATTTTGTCTTCTCAGTAGTTAGTCCACTACCATGTCCGAGATCTTTAGTTTCATCATCACATTGATTCTAAGTTCTAAATTATGATGTTATATTACAGTAAACTTTAATGCAACAGTGTTTATTAGTTTTTAGGGTATGATATACATAATTTTCTGATAACTTAGATTTCAATGGAATATATGTCGTTTGCCCATGTGATACCAACCTACTATTTGTCCCGAACATTAGGAGCTGTGCTTGTTGGTTAAAGGGAATAAGTTATTATTTTGAAAGTTCAGGAAATAGATGACTTGCATTCTGGAATACTGGTGAAGTGGTAAAACTGAGCAGATTGCCTTCTCTTTTTTAGAAGGTGTTCTCCTTTTGTTCAAGATGTACCTTTATGATGGGATTATCAAATGATATGAACTTTGTAAGACTCGGTTAAAAGATTCAATGTTTTTTGATAGTTAAAAAATATCAAGATCCTTTTGCACTGATAGTTGTTGGGAAGCTCCATTTCAAGTTTTACCATAATTGAGTTGAATTTGACTACTTTTCATTAATCTGTTCAGGGGAGAGTTCTTGCAGGACGAAGTTTGGTAGATGAATCTATGCTCACAGGCGAGTCCCTTCCTGTACTAAAAGAAAGTGGTCTTACTGTTTCAGCTGGAACAATAAATTGGGTATGTTCCTGTTCTGATTGTTTCCATGTTAACTGGTGCTCTAGGACATAGATGTATCAACTAATGCGATCCATGTCTGGTTTTCTCTAGATATCCTGTCTTTTGTATAGTTGAAGATATTCTTATTGGACGCACAAATGTCTTAATTTTTTTGTCTGATACTGGGACTGGTAGACAACAAAATTTCTGTAAAACCAATAGCTTGGAATGGAAATATTTGACTGTTAAGATATTTTACTTGGTTGTGTATACACCTTCGTCTTCTGTTCTATATTAAAGATATGGTTTTATTTTGGTTCATCAGAAAAAGTAGCATTGTTAGAATCTTTCGAAAATAGTAAATGAAAAGTAGCTATTTAGTATCCTGAAATGGAGTTCTCTTGTGAAGTTCACTGATATCAACCTAACTGCTTTGTTGTTCTCCTGTTACATACTTTTCAATTAGGATTTTATGGAAGTTGTTTTACAACTTTATGAGATATTATGTATGATTTGGATGTGAATTTTTTTCTAATATTATGCTTAGAGAGACATGAAGTATCTTGTGCCTTTTGAGGATGTCTTGTGAGATATAAATCGGAAAGTGGTGAACCTAATTCCCATCTTTCCTATTTGCTTTTAACTTTTTCAGGATGGTCCATTGAAAATAGAAGCCTCCACTGCTGGATCCATGTCTACAATTGCCAAGATTATTCACATGGTCAGTTATGTGCCTTTTATGTAGTTTAGTTACTTTACTTTATTAGTATATATGCCCAGTAGCGTACCTCCTAGATGTTTAGGGTCTTCTTGGTTTCTAGATATGTCGTAATTCCTTTTGTCTGATGCCCTTTTGGCCTTTTTATCTATAAAATAATTGGATCCAGTTTTCGCTTTTCATTATAGCTTTGATTGAACTTCTCTATTAATGCCATAGTAGGAACCTGAGCATTGGTATCATGTACTGCTTGCTGATAATCGTGTAAGTGCTGGTAAAGACATATATCCCTGTCAAGTCTGTTTAGTTAATATTTTACCTTATTTTATAGTTCCTATGAATATTTGAAGTTTTTGATATTCATTGTAAGAAAGAAAATTATCTAGCAGCTACCGTGTTCGCTAAGAGCTGCTGCTTCAGCTTGCAACGTCCACCACTGAACAACATGAATAATCACAAATGTTTATTCAGATTGCTGTTATGAGCCTTTGTATTTAACTTTCCAAATATAAGTACTGAGCCTTTGTGTTTGTTGTAACAGGCTTTTGGTTTGTGTTGTTTTCTTTTAGTAATTATCCTTTTGTTTTGTTTTAGTGTGATGTATATTGATGTGTAGGCTGGGTGAGTTTGAAATAGGTCTTTGTCATTTGACTCAAGAGAGAGTCATGGTGTGTTCATGTTGAACAACAAAATTCTAGACATTTTTTCAGTCATAAGTTTACATTGATTATGTAATTTCAGGACAACACTAGACCATGAAGCATGCAGTGGTGAAATTTTGTTTACAGGAAATATTTGGTAGGACTTTGGTCTGATTCAAATAATCAGTAAATCACAATTTTCAAACAGAGAGTAAAGAACAGGCGAATCATGTCCTGTTCTCGATGTGATGAACCCTATTAAAAGAATGTCGTATGGAAGTTTTTAAGTACTGATGTGCTCCCATCTTCGTGGTGCTTTTCTTGACCATTGTTGCTTTATTCTGCTCTGCTGCATTTCAATCTTCAGGCTTTGTGCCTTGTAAATACTGTTATGAAGTCCATTGGTAGATATGAAAGCAGTGTGCCAACTCAGCTGGGTTACTCAGCTCGGGGTGGTACTGAGGCGAGTTGTACCCAGTGCCTTGGTACAACTCCTCTAATTAATAAAAGGGCGGCATCAGCCCCCTTATTTCATATCCATCTCTCTCTAAAAAGGGGAGCACCACCGCCCTTTCAATTCTCTACCAGGCAGGGCCCTTGCTCGCTCTCCTCTTTTCTCGCTGTCCCTCTCTCTCTCTCTCTCTCTCTCTCTCTTTCCTCCTCCCTTCTTCCCTCTCCCTACTCTCTCTCAAAAAGGAGGCAGAAAAATCTGCCCTTGTGATCATCCCTCTCTTAAACGGGGTCGACATCCACCCGTTGTTTCTCATTTCTCTCTTGTAAAGAGAAATGGAAACACAGACATAGAGAGATGCAGTGGGTGGTGGGTGAGGCAGTTGGCACAACACACATGTATGCACGCACGCACGCACACACACACACACGAGTGGTGGAGGGAAAGAGATGCAGTGGAAAGAGAGATCCGAATAGAGGAAAAGATCAGGAGAGAGATGCAGTGGTGCAGAGAGATTAGGAAACAGAGAGATGCGGTGGTGGAGAAAGATCAGGAAGAGAGATTTGTTAGTTGAGAGAGAGGGGGGGCGGTGGTTGAGTGGGTAGAGAGAGAAAGGCAGTGAGTGGTTGGGTGGGAGAGAGAGAGAGAGAGAGATGTGTGAGAGAGAGAGAGACATGTGTGTGAGAGAAGGACTTGCTAATTGGGGAAGAGAGGGTGAGACGTGGCCATGAATGTCCTTCCCTTTGGCTACATGCCCTTTTCCTTCTCTTTTTTGTTTTTCCCATTTCTTTTCTCCCTTTTTTTTTAATGTGGAACAACTTGGGCACGTTACTCTAACTCGCCCAAGTAACTCGCCTCGGGCTAGGGCCGAGTACCTGGTTTGAGGTGCGTCTTGGAACATTGGATGAAAGAATGAGTTAGTTGGAAGACAAATAAGCTTTTGCAATTTGTAATGACAATTCAAGGTTAGTTTTCTTTCCTTCCCTGTTTTTTGATATATCCTTTTATATCTGACAGGTTGAAGATGCTCAAGGTCGTGAAGCTCCTATTCAAAGGCTGGCTGATTCAATTGCTGGATATTTTGTGTATAGTGTCATGGCATTATCTGCAATGACTTTTTGTTCTTGGTATGTTCATCACGCCTTCCAAAAGTTCCAATAGTATAGAAATAAACTAGCTATATGGACAATTATTGCAGTTTCCAATTGAATTCACACTAAAATTTTATTAGCTTGTACCAGTATTTAAAAAGTTGGACTCAGTTTCCAACTTTCCAGGGCCTGAGTTCAAGTCTCCCAGTCCCACTCAGGTAAGTCTGAGTCAGACTGGGAAATTTTTAGCAAGAAAACACTTTGCAGTATCAAAATGTGGGGAGATTTGGATGATTCCTCGGTATTTTTGTCCCGGAATCACCTGGCTCCTGCACCTAGCCGACTTGGGCAAGTCCCAATTCCACCTGCGATTTGTAAACACTGGCTTATGAAACATGGTTGCGATCTAATTTTCCTATTATCCCCATGCAATGAAAGAATTATTTTCTGTTCTCATTGATGTAAACTCCATACTTTCAGGTATTACATTGGGACACATATCTTTCCAGATGTGTTGCTTAATGATATAGCAGGGTCTGAGGGAAGCTCACTGCTTTTGAGCTTAAAGCTTTCTGTGGATGTACTTGTGAGTATTGCTCAAGAAATAAGCTGGAGTGATAATTGCATTTGCTATGGTGATTTGTGCTAAACAGAGCTGTGCTGCTTTTGATTCAACTTGCAGTTTAGCTTTCAGATTTGCTTGGTTCGTAATTCAACTTGCTTCAGAAGCCTGTCATGAGAAGAAAAGAAAAGAAAAAAAAGAAAAATTTCCTTAAAAGCTTATTTTTGGAGAAAGTTGTATATAAACTGAAGTATAGCCTGGTTTTCCTTTTTTTTTTTTTTTTTTTTTTTTTTTTTTTGTTTTTGTAGAAAGTTGTATACAAACTGAAGTATAGCCTGTTGGAAGTGACAAAATATTCTTATATGAATGAAGTGCTTATGGATTTATTCCTGTAACAAATCTAGCAATTAATGGTTTAAGAACAACTACTTATATTGGACAACTGTGAAAGTGAAAAAATAATGCATTTTGAATTTGCTGGGTATTGGCATTCCAATTCCTTTTTCCTGGTGACTTAATAACTTTATCAGCTCTACCATCTTTGTTGAGCAATAAAAAGCAAATGAAAGACAATTTTTTGACTACATGTTCCAAGTTCTTATTTGATTTCTGATTCAAATGACATTACAATGTGTTCCCGTTGTATCGAGTTCTGGTGATGGATAGGAATTATATAATATATGGGTAAGAATTATATAATAAATGTAAGCTTCATTTTTTCAGGTTGTTTCTTGCCCTTGTGCTCTTGGCCTTGCTACACCCACAGCCATACTTGTAGGCACCTCCCTTGGTAAGATTTGTACTTTTACCTATTTTACTTATTCCATTTGTTCCTTTCTCACTAATTGAAAGATGAGTATTTCACGTATGTTGCATGATCCTTCACAGTAAACTGTTTCCCAGGTCTTTTAATGGCTTGAAATATTATTGGATGTTTTTCCTTTTGATTCTTTTGGATGTTTCTCCATGATGGTTTGTGCTGATTGGCATTGTACTTATTCAAATCCACCATGTTTTCTTAATCCATTTCTTTAGATCATGCTTTTCTATCCATCCATAAGCCTTTTGTGTTTGGTCATCATTTTTTCATATTAACTAATGAATGATGATGATGATGATGGCATTAAGTAATGATGATATAGGCAAAAGAGAAACTTATGAACAACAAATTAATTGAGCAAAAAAAATCGTACATTTGGATTCTACATTGCCATTTTTCTAGGAAGTTCTAACTTCTCTTTTGATGGCATTGACATGGAAAGGTGCAAAGCAAGGACTTCTCATCAGAGGAGGTGATGTGTTAGAAAGGTTGGCTGGTGTCGATGTTGTTGCTCTAGACAAAGTATTTCTCAATCTTTTGTAGCTTTCTGTTTGTCTATGCAAATATTTTGGTGAACAAAGAATGATTTAGGGAAAATATCAGGACAGTACTTAGAAAATCTGCATAGATCATGCACATTGTCTGGCAACTTGAAATATCAAGACAGTGCTTGGACATCTCAATTTCTTGAAATGACAATTTCACCCTGGTTTGCCACTGGGATATAATGGTCATTTAAAAAATAGACCACAGTCCCAGTTCTCCCCTATTCAATTTCAAGGCCACCTGCAAGATCTATGCAGTTACTCGAAGTGTACTTTCTCTTTAATTTATAATGTAAACTCATTCCATAATTCCCTCCCTTCTTTTTCTTCCTGGTTCTCAGACAGGAACCCTTACAGAAGGAAGGCCAGTTGTTACTTCAGTTGCTTCCTTGAAATACAAAGAAGAAGAGATCATTCGTTTAGCTGCTGCAGTGGAGAAAACAGCTTCACATCCAATTGCCAAAGCTATCGTAAAAAATGCTGAATTCCTAAATCTGGAAATCCCTCTCACTAGAGGGCAGCTTACTGAACCTGGGTTTGGAGCCTTAGCAGAGGTAGAGGGAAAGTTGGTTGCAGTTGGAACAAGGAAATGGGTTCATGAAAGTTTCCAGAAAATAACCAGACAATCTGATTTAAGCGAGCTTGAAAATGGTATAAGAGAGTTGTCACCAAATGGGTCTTCCACATGTTACAACCCCAGTACTGTTGTATATGTTGGGCTACAGGGGGAAGGCATCATAGGTGCAGTTGCCGTGTCAGATACCTTGCGGCGTGATGCCAAATCTATGGTTGGAAGGTAATTTTATTTTCTCCTAACAGTATTTCCTTGCATTAAATAAAATGTATTTGCCTATAATGAAACTTTCTTATTCAAATATGGATTTTTAATGATGGAAAAATTCTAACTTTCTTGTTTTTGTTTAAATTGAATTCTCCAACATGCAAATCCTTTAACTTGATCTGTCTTTGATCTTGTCCAGTTCTGCTATCTTTGTGCCTGAGTTGAATTAAATTTTCAAACCTATTCATCCATGTATGTGTATATGTGCATGAATGCATGCTTGCTTATGTTCAGTCTGCTTACTGATTGCTCTGGTTATGGAAGGCTCCAGCAAATGGGAATCAGGACGATCCTGTTATCTGGTGACAGGGAAGAGGCAGTTGCAAGCGTAGCAAAGATAGTTGGAATAGATAGTGAGAATGTAAATGCTTGCTTGACTCCATCGGAGAAGGCATGTGCTATATCAACTCTGCAAACTCAGGGCCAATGTGTTGCGATGGTAAAGAAATGATATTCTTAGATCTCAATGCCCACATTCTTTGGTTGAATCTCATGTGCATGTGCTTCTCGTTATGACAACTGGATTGTTGGGCCAATGAAACTTCAATTAATTTTTGTCAAGAAAATGGAGTAAGATATTTAATCTGGGGTATATCCTGTCCCGTGCTTCATTGACTAATAGGTTGGTGATGGCATAAATGATGCACCTTCTTTGGCCACTGCTGACGTTGGTCTTGCAATGCGAATTCAAGATAAAGACAATGCTGCATCTGATGCAGCATCTGTCATTCTCCTCGGTAACAGGCTCTCACAGGTAAAGCATTTGCACCTTTGTGAACTCTTTTATGCCTTGGAAGATCGTTTTCTATGAATTAAATTCTTAGTGCATTTTTTCCTTGGGTGGTATGTCTTTAAATTTTCTCTGGTGCCTTCAGATTTAGGACTATCAGCCTCTCTACGCTAATGAAATCCATGAAACTAGATCACAAAAAGTTAGCTTCCTTTTCCATGATATTGTAGATGTGTCATTTACTTTCGTTTATCATGAACTGAGCAATTTGTATCTTTTGCCATAAATTTTGAATAATATGTCGCTACAAAGGTGGTAGATGCATTGGACCTTGCGAGAGCAACAATTGGAAAAGTTCGTCAAAACCTGGCATGGGCTGTGCTATACAATATTGTTGCCATTCCTGTTGCAGCTGGGGTGCTACTCCCACATTTTGATTTGGCTATGACACCCTCTCTCTCAGGTTAGTCGAATTTGAAACTATTCATACAATTACGGATAAAAAAGTAGTCAGTATCTTGCTGCTTGCCTGTATGATAAGGGGAACCGGCGTGCAAGTTTTGAACAATTTTTTGCTTTTTATAAAACTAAGACACCAAAACTATAAAGAAGTCAATTTTAGGACTAGAAATAACAGAAATAGCCTGGAATGCCTCCATAAATCAAATGGGTGCTCGAGGATTTTGAAATTGGAGCACCTGCATGCAATATGAAGGTATTTCTGGCCTCATTTTGATAACTTTTCTGAAGGCTATGTGGTTATGAACTGATTTTTGGATTTATTGAGATTATAGAGGCAAAAGAAACCTTCAAGCAAAATCTGCAGTTCTTCACTAATATTATTTGCATTTTGCTTGCACTTATCTCAATGCGAAATAATTAAGGAGACAATATAACGCCATGGATTAGCATGAAAGGAGAAGATCTATAGAGAAACAAAACATAATGAGAAAATTCGAGCATATGCATCATGTTTTTGCTCCTTTTGTTCTAGGTCCACCAAGTAGATCGAAATTGCCCCAAAGCTGGAAAATAGGTTGGAAAATTCAGTGCTTGTAATTATAGGCAGCCTTAAAATGTACTGTTACCTTCAAATTGGCCCTCAACTTAAGCTTGGTTGAAATTCATCAGGATCCATGATATTTTGAACTTTTTGACTTTATTTGGCAGGAGGACTGATGGCATTGAGCTCCATATTGGTTGTGACCAACTCTTTGCTTCTGAGATTTGATGCAAGATTCCAGGGTCAGAAAGGAGTTCGACAATTCGAAAGGAATGTGTAAACCAAATCTCTCTCTCTCTCTCGGAAAGGAGCTAGCCATTCCAAAGGAATTTGTGGACTAAATGAGTTATTCTCTCTCTTCTCTCTCATGTCTGCCATTAGATTATTTATCTCTTTCATGTATGTCATAAGATAAGTCTCTCTTTCTCTCTGTCTCTCTCTCTCTCATGTCTGTCATATTCATGTATGATAACATTCTATTTTTGCCAAAATGATGAATCAAACCAGATCGTATATTGAATTTGCATATTTGTGGATACAAGGCTTTTGACCTATTTGAAACCAAATTTATCTCAGCCAACTAACGTACAACTATTTGAAACCAATTTCGATTTCAAAATGCGTTTTTATTTACATATGGGATGAAACCTTGTCATGCTATTCCATCCCTCCGTAGGCGTTACGTTTCAGTCACTGTATTTCATATTAATAAGTGTTTTTTAAAAAAGGACATGTATGCAATGAGATCATTTATCTTTGGTACATGGTGGTCACAATTGATTTTGACCATTGGATATGCAATTGGATGATTGTATCTATTCCATTGATTAAGCTCAAACTTTAAAAGAAATTTTCTCGAGCTTTGCCCAAGCTATCATATTTGACATCGGATGGATGTAACTAATTGTGACTTTGTATCAAAGGTAAATGATTTCATTGTATACAATCCCTTCTAAAAAGGGATTAGTGGGTGCATCTTTCACTCATTGATCCCATCAAATTGCCGGATCATTGATCTAAATTCGTTGGTTGGGTGGCTTAGAAAATATTTGAGAAAAAAAAAAAACCTGAAGTGAGGTTTGTGGCTTATGATTTATTAAGGTATCTAATGAAAACATTAAAAGAGCAAAAGAACAAAAAACGAAATATATAGAAAGGTTGGGGGTTTTCTTTTGGTTGGGGTGGGGGAAGAGGGGGCGAAGGGGAAAATTAGGGGAATATTACTGGTACCGATGCCTTCCTAGAACCGGATTGGTTCCAGTCAATTACTACCTGTGATTTTTTAAATCACTGATATTTAGTAATGAATTGTTATGGGTGATGGTATTAAACGGTCAAAACCCCTTACAGAATCATTTAAAGGGTTAAAAACGTACCATTTAACATTAAGAGGTCAAAACACAATTACCTATGGATTGTGACATTATTTTACCATCCATTTATTGATACATATAAATTATGTGTTAGAAGTCACAAAAAAATATTTGCCTATTAATATTCAAAGGGTGACAAAACAAATTATGGAGTAACAGATGGTCGGTGAAAATGGCAACCATTGTCTCTAAACATTATTCTCCAAACTAATGGAAGTACAAGTCCTTAGCATTCTCCGTATTTTCCTCTGTTTGAACTTGGAATATCCTTGAGTCCTTATAAAGATTATTCTTGATGGCAAGCATCCAAATAATTAACTATGAAGATATCTCTTCTTTGGGCAAAGAAGAAAATTAAGGACTGGGAGTCTCTCTCTCTCCCCCACACACACCCAACAACCGCATAGAAGAAGGCATGGAGAACATGTTCATGGTTGTACTTCTTGAACATTTTTTTAAAAAAAATTAAAAATCTGCCTTATATAGTATGATCCCATGGGAGCCTACTATTTACTAATCCTTGTGGGCAAAAGAGCTACTTGGGCGAATTTTTTCGATGCAATATTTGGGATCCATCCAAGAACCACCATAGTATTTTCCCAAAGAAAAGTTAGATTTTGAATTCTTATGCACTTAGATCTCACTCACCTAAAAATTGGAGGGTCCCTTGTGGAGGCCATTTTCTTTAGGTACATAGACCATGCAATTTGAATTATTATTATTTTTGTTGTAGTGGCTATTTAAGGGTCCACAAAAATACTCCTTACTTTGGTTTTTACCTGAATGAGCAAATGCACAATATGCTCCTATAGGTGCAAAAAATCAATTCACAAATCTTAGTGTACAAAGGGACAAATCATATAAAAATAAAAAACAATAGTAGCTAAACAAGTATTCTATACTTCTCCTACTGCATAGAAGTTCTATACTTAAAATAAATGGAGGTACATTAAAGTGACAATATTTCCCAAGCTCAAGCTTCAAAATCAGGCTTCACCCATTGGCCATACTTATTCTCATTCTTCTCCTCAAACTCTCGCACTCTAACCTCCTCCATGTGAGCCTCTTGAACCATGGCCTCAGCTCTCACATGTGCCACTTTCCTCCCCCTTTTTCTCCCCATTTCCTCTCTCTTGGTCTCAAGCCCCATGAACTCCTTCACAATGCAGCTCTCTATGGCACACATGAGTCCCAACACCACAATTTGGAGCAAAAACACAGATAGGGCAAAACCCACTTGCGCCTTGATCAAGATTTTGACTTCTCTTTGAGTTCTTGGAGATTCAAGGAGCCTTATGCATGTGTTTTTTCTAAGAATGAGCATGAAAATTGAGGACCCTTGTTGGAGGAGAGAGAAGAGGAGGAGGGTGGTGTGAGTGAGAAAGAGGCATTGGTTTAGTTGGGAGTAGAAGCCGAGAAAGGCGGAGACAAGGGAGGAGGCGGAGGCGGCGAAGAAGGCCCAGCCTACAGGGGAGGGGGGCCGGCGTAGGAGGAGGAGGGTGGAGATGGAGGCGGAGGCGGCGAGGATGAGAGAGAGATTTAGGGAGGTGAGGAGGAGGTTGAGGCATGGGAGGGAGCTTCTATGCTTGGAGAAAGCCATTGGAGAGAGAGAGAGTTGCAGGTGAGTATTGGAGAGATGAGAAGGAGGTCAGGAGGTTTAAATAGGAGGGGAAAGTAGGGGCTTGTATCTTTCCTATAACGGCTAGAGAGAGAGAGAGAGAGAGAGGGAGAGCCATTGAGGGGCCTTGTTTTGTCTTAGGTTCATTGGTTGCTTGGGTGTGGGCTCGGCTCACAGCGTGTTTTGCTTTATGCTAGGAGGATCAAATTTTGAATTTCAAAACAACACTAACGTCTCTCTCTCTCTCTCTCTCTCTCTCTCTCTCTCTCTCTCTCTGTATACTGTTTTTTTAACTTGAGCTGTTATCCACCATCAACGCATGAGCCTTTGGAGCCAAAGAGGGTTTAGATTTTGAATTTGGCAGGGAAGAGGATTTAGATTTTGAATTTAGCAGGGTTTTAATGTTGCCTCCGGATCAGAAATTGTCGATCTAGATTGATCCCAATCAGATTTGGTACGTAGGCATAGTGTTATTCTATTAAAGATGTAGTTTGTATAAGCATGAGGCTCTAAACGATCAAAGTAAGGCACACCTTGACATGGTATGGACAGATGTTATTTTAGTACTGAAAATCATTATGACGGCTTGAAAATTTATCTTTATGTCTAATTATAAAATTTAAAACTTCAAAAATAAGTGTAAATCGATTGGATCTATTATCATTGAACACTTGATAATCTTGAAAATTGACGATCTACAAAATGCGCTACAAGATGTACTATTTCCAACACTTCAAAATCTATTTTTTATCATGTTTATACACTTGAGGTCGAAATCATTAATTTGAGGATTTTTAAGCATCGAAATAACCTCTTCTTGGGAATTTTTGAGGTGTGGCTTTTTAGGGCCTCACCCTTATAAAAACTTTTTCCTTCTATTAATCCTTTTTCCAAATTTTTGAGGCTCTCTCACCTCACCCAATGCGATCTATTATTTCCATAATATTTTGAGTTTTCGTTCTCTCTTAGAACGAAAGCTTTGACATAAAATTGAATCAACTTGATGAACTTCTTTTATAAGGTTCGGACTAGCCTAGTTAAAACTTGCTCGACTGGCAGTTGGATCAGGTGGGCCGAAAGTTAAAGGGAAAATAAACTCATAGTTTAAATATGGAATATGTGAAAATATATATAATCTTATTTAATTGATTAAATAAATCAAAACATGTCAAATATTGATTTCGACCATTTTTATTACCAATTCTTTGTTTTTATTAGACCAGCAAAGCATCATTTGGATTTAACTACTCTAAACCCAAGCTATATTCTTTTATGTATATCATACCTTTTCCTTTCCCAAGCTAATTAAATAGAAATAAAATGACCACATTTCCGCTTTGCATTTTAGAAAAATGGATAGGAGACTAAAATAAGGTTTCCCAGTCTTTCATAAAAGCTGCAAACCACCGCCAGGATGGTCAATAATTTTCTGTAGCTTTTGTTGGGAATTGATCGGGTCCAAGTCAATTAAACCCTGACACAAACGACTGGGTCGGGTCGGTTCGGGTCAAGTCTGGCCCTATGAATAATAATAAATGAATTAAATATTTATGTATGTTATACTATATTGTTACTTACACATATTTTTTACTAATATATAAGGTTAAGTGGACCCAGATCTTCCATTATCTAGGTCGACTCAAATCTTCCAATTGAGTCCACGGGTCAACCTGGCCCATTTTCCACCCCTACTTTCAACCCAAACAAAAAAGTGATAATTTATGAAAGACCGTGAAAAGCGGAGAAACTCGTTATTTTGCGCTAATTCATCAAACAACCCCTAAGTAGGAATGGGGTTGAGGTCACGACGGTAGCATTACCTGAGTCTTAACTAGCACTCTAGGTTTCTATTCCCACTACCACATTCAAAAACCAATAACTACTTTTAAAAATGGATAAGACCTCTGTTCCTCACTGATCTACTAAAGAAATAACCCATAAGTAGTCCATCCATCCCACTACAAAACTCAGTCCCGATTGCAAATACAAGATATTGAATCTTTGCACATCCAAATGATGTTTTGCACAACTTTCGAGTTGAATGTGTAATTACAAAGTGCAACTATACTTCCCAATGAGATTAGGAGTATATAGCCTCTATGGTTGGTTGATCTCTTAGGTGCATTTTGATAAAAATAAATAAATTTAAAATAAACATCCAAGCATGGTTTCATTGTGCCCAAAAGCCGAGCTCCTACTTGTCAATCCACCATAACATGATGACATGTTGCATAACTAAGCACCCCCTTCCAATATCTTCTCAGCAAAACTCTGAAAACCAGACTCCCCAGCTCTTCTAGAAGGACCTAAAAACCAGACTCCCCAGCTCCTTTGGAAGGACCTATAAAGGAAGCAACCTATGTACTCGAGCTTTGTGAGTAAAACAGGCCAGGCCTCTATCTGGTTTTTTTTTTGGTAATTCAATGAAAAAAATAGGCCCCTACCCGTTTTTGAATTAGTTAGTGGTTTGTTTTTAATTAGTTAGTTGGTTTTTTTAGGTAATTTAGTTCGGAAAACATACATGTACCTATTTTTTAATTACTTAGTGATTTTAAAACTAACGGTAGGAATGGAAGCCACAACAATAGCAGTGGACCCACACGATGACATGCTATACTAAGCCAAACCTCACCTCCATTCCGTTATCCTATGTCCTAGGTGCCGTTTTATTAAATTTCATAACAAGAAAGTAGGTAGTGTAGCACTTGGTGTACAGTATGATACACCACGGGGACACCCACCATCCACTCTGTGCAACAACATTCGTTGTCCCTGAGGTTGTCGTAAATTCCCCTATGTGTATAGTTTATTTCAATGCAACTATGTGCTGTACACAAATTAACATTTCTGTGTTGTATACTATACACTAATGGTGCACAGATAATCTCCACATTTGGGACATCCACCGTCCATTCTTTGTAAGAGAGCACAGACCATAGGTTGTTCTTAATGACGAGCACTCACCTGTGTAAAAATAATCTAATGTGCCATGGTGTCTCTTGATTATGATAAGATTAGTTAGTAGTTATTCATAACCGTTGGTATTTACCTTCAATTGTTACTGGCTCGTATATTTAAATGGGTCTTTTATATTTTTTTATAAATAAATCAATAAACATACAATTCTTTGTAGTATTCTGAAATAATCTTCCATAAGGTCTAAGGCTCAAGTATACAGAAATACACAGTTTCTAACATGGAATCATAGCCGCTTCCTTTTGGGCTTGAGACTCATCTATGCAAAATAGTTTTGGAAACTTATCTTTCATTTCTATTTTGCTGTGAATTTTGATTTGATGATAGAGAAAAAGTTGGTGCCTAATTTTTGCTTGCAAATCTCTTTCAAATTTTTTTTTTGCAAGCAATTCTCCGTGTAGTTCAAAACTATTGGTGTGCGACTCAAAAAAAGCTTTCTATTGACAATCGCCGTCAACAAACTGTTGTACCAGGCAATCCACCTCTAAATAAAAAAATGGCCTATATGCGCTCTTTGTCGAGTCCTTCTTTGACTCTCTGCCGAGTCGTGCTTCGACTCTCTACAAAACAATATTTGTTTTTGTTTTGACCTGTGTTCTGGACTGCAAATGCTGAATATGTCTCGGATCCTCGTCGAGTTCTGTTAGCTCTTCCAAGTATTATTCTGTGTTTGTACTTCAAGCAAGAAACCACTGCTTCTATTGGTCACGCTATGCACGTGAAGACTTAAATATCCAACTAATTCGTTTATGCAACTTATTATTCAAACTTCGGCTGCTTTGTGTAAAAGCATTTTGAGTTTAAGGGGGAGTATTAGAGTATGTATATCTATATTAATATACATCATTATGAATACATAATGAGATATGTATATATATGAATATATATCGCTTAGGTATCTCTTGATTATAATAAGATTAGTTAGTAGTTATCTATAACCGTTAGTATTTATCTTTGATTGTTGTTGAACGTATATTTATACAGGTCTTGTATATTCCTTATGAATAAATCAATAAACAAAGAGTTCTTTTTAGTATTTTGAAATAATTTTTCATAGGGGCCAAAGGCACAAATATACAAAAATACACAGTTTCTAATATCATACACTAGTGGTGCATAACATATGATGCACCAGATGGACATCCACCTTTCATTCCATGACAGATGATAGATATCACGTATTGTTTGTAATAACAAGCATTCCAACTGTGCAAGGTGATTCTCTAATCTCCGACGTCAGATAGAAATCAATGGGGGGTGCACCTATGGTGTACGATAAACCAATTATCCCACATGCACATCTAGAGAACTCGTAATCAACTGATTAGACACCACACATTCTTGTTAAGTAGGGGTGGCTATGGAATGGGCCAACCCTCTCCCGAGCACGGCTGGGCAAAATACAATAGAAGTAAACAAAATAAAATAACAATAATGATAAAAGGGCCCAGCTATGCTGAACCGAGTCGGCCCAGTCACGGCTCTGGCCCAATCCATCCTAGCCTTGTTTGTAGGTTGTGGTGGCCTTGCTTTGGCCCCGCCCAGGACCTAGTTTTTGGGTTGGGCAATCTGTCTATTGTCAGCCCTATTGTCAGACATAGTGTTTAAAAACCCATATTGCTTAGGTGAATCAGCCATTTGGGAAAACCGGTCGAGAGCGGTGAGTTGCCTATCCAAATCGACAGTCCAATCGAGACAATCAACTATAAAAATTTGAAAATAATAAGTGGGAACCGGGCCGATTCTAATAAAAACCGCCCAGTTCTAGATATTGTCAAGGAACAAGGACAGTCCCCAATAATTCCAGGTCACATTGCACGATTCTGATGACCCAACAATTTTTTAAAAGGTGAGGTTTGTATAGGGTCCCCTCCTTATACAATAGAAATAAGGCAAACCTCTAAAATTTGCTTAGAAATGTGATTGTGGTGCCGAAAACTTTATAATGGTTTGAAATTTTATTTTCATCCCTATTATGATTTTAATCCAAAAAATGGTACAGATCGAGCAGAGCAAGAAGCATTTAAGAATATTAAAAATAGATTGTTTAGATAACTTATTACAATATGCATCATTCTTTGGATTTGGAATTCTTTTTTTTCTTTACGTCTATATATCTCAAGGTCGAGAGATCAATTGGAGAGTTCTCTAATGTTGTGACACACTTTTGTGTAG